AGAGGGGGTCAAAGGCTCGATCAAAATAAAGAATTTTCGCAAAATACAAAATGGCTTGTGATTTTTGTATTTTGCGAAAACTCGCCCAACAATAGACCAAACAAATATCAACTGCAACATACAATGCCTGCCAAAAGCTTGGAACACTGACGTCAATTTCCAAGGTCAAAATCAAACCTCCCCCTCTCCCCTACAGAACAATGTCGGTTTATTATCAAACGGGTTAGGATTTTAGGAAGCACATTCTTTTGCGCTTCTTTTATGATATTTCTCTAAATTATTAACATTGTTTCAGGGGGAAGGAGGCAGATGTAGTAGATTATGTTCTGTATGAAAGGAATGAAAGATATCGAATGCAGCGTAATTTGCTGGGTGTTCCAAGTACTTTTGGCAGGCATTTTATCTATTATCCTGAATATGGTAATAGCTATTTTCAGTAAAAATATATGACGTACTTTGAATACAAAGGAACAGTTTCGTGTACAAAATTTTATTAAGTAACATTCTGCACGTTGTCAGAGACCAAATTAATTGATTGGGATGCGCCATTTCATTTCACAAGACCACACAGTGCATATTGTTTTCAGTGCCTACGCCACGAATTTGAAAGTGGGGACGCCAAGACTAGCAAAAGTAGAGGGCCAAGTCTTTTCCCCCTTTTACTGCAGCTTTAAAACTATTTACCTCTCAAAAAATGGGGGACCATGGCCCCTCCCCCCAAGCCCCCCCCCGGTGGCGTTGGCCCTGGTTTTAGCAAGCAAATGGCATAATATCGGGTGGAATATTGTATGTATTGATTGGTTAAACATAATCATATACCGCGGGGTAATCAACTGATGCATTAAGAAGTATAGATCCAACATTAGATCCTTGTAGAACACTCTAAGTTTCTTTTTGAAAACAAAGGAAGCGTTTGTTTCTACCCATTCTCGCTCATTTCTAATATTCATGAAATATTGTTGATGCCTTCTTGTTTTTATTTTTAACTGACAATGACGTTGTCAATAGGTTGCAGATTTTTAATGGATGCATTATGCGAAATGTCTTTTTCTTGATATTTGTCTTGAAAAAGTCAGCACCAATTCTGCACTTCCTGCTAATCTATGATGTCTGTTTCAAGTAAGATAACTTGAAAAAGGATAAAAAGAGAACTGTTCAATACAGAGCTTTTTGAAACGATAAAAGGCTGAACTTGCTACCAGAGTCATTAATCCTGGTACGCATGTCAGGTATCTCAAATTACACGTCTGTGTTATGCTCACGTCGAAAAGAGAGGTTTCTCTCCAGTCTCGAACGGTATTTTTCCTCAACAATATGTAAATAATTAATGGAATTTGAATTTTTTTCAATAGCAACCATCTCGACGTATTTCATGTTCGCATGCTTATCCAGGAAACGATCGGTGTTTTCGTTCGAGCGTAATCTCGACGAACACTTTTTTAGCATATGAAATGGATTAGAGTCGCCTGTCTGTGATTTTCCATTGTGAACACGTGGAAGCCAGTCCCGTTATTATATCGCGCTAGACACACAACGTTGAGACGAGGAGTTTAGCTTGTGTGAAGTATCACAATTTTGAGCAGCAAAACACTGGAACAGGCACCGGGCAGCCATTGGACTATAGCCCTCCCACTTCTTGCAATAACATGTCAGAAAATGTTTTGAAAAGTTTACTCCAACGCAACTTTGGAAAGTTTACTCTAACGGAATCTTAGTAATAGCAGTTCCTCTTCACTGGGAACCCTTTTTATTCATTTTCTAGGTGTTTTATCTTGCTTAATGATATGATATATTTTATAACTTGGCTAGCTTGGTGTTTTATTATCCCCAAACTAATTATACCTATTTTTACAATTATCCATATCTTCTCTGAATAAGACGGCTTATAAAAAATCGATGAAAATAAGCAAGTATTTTCTAAAAAGGGTGTTTTTCTTGCGTTCTAGAGGGCATGGCCTCAAATAATTTTCAGTCATGCCTTTCTCAGCCCCCCCCCCCCACTCTTAGACTGGTGCGCGGTGCCTGCACTGGAACGTCTGTCATGGTTATTGGAAACACCCGAATGAAACAGAAAAGTATTTAAAGGCTTCACTGACACAGGATTTAAAATCTTATTCCCTTAAACACAGACAAACGCTATTTGAGATTGGCCAGAGTTAAGCAAGAGGCCCAAAAATATCAAGTAAGCTATATTTCATGTCCTTCATTTCAGTAGCAAATAGAAGCTCGGGAAAATGAAGTAGGGGCATGGGATGTTTTGCGGTACTTCTGTTATTGCCAACCCCCGAAACTTTGAAATTGGAAACAGAAAATAGAGAGGAAGTACAATTTTTTATTTGGAATTCGGAGTAGCAACTTAGAACCGTCTTGTTCTATACACTGAAAGTTTGTAATATTTGATAAATGTTTTTAAATTGATTTTTTTAAAAAGTATAATTTTATCTAGATTAATTCGCAAACCTATAAAATTTACCCATAGCTAGAGATATTTTGCTATGGAAGGTTTGAAAGTTTTACAAACTTGTAAAGGCTATCACATGTCAGCTTTTAATGATCAGATGTCTGATTGGTCAAAATTGAATGAAGAACGGCCAATCACATAACGAGATGAGATGTGAACAGTTAGAATATTTATCTTTCTTTAAAGGGGCCTGTGCAACCAGCAGCCTTTGCGCGCTTGCATTTGTTTTGTTTTCTAACTGTGTTCTTCTATGCAAGACAAAAATGGCGAGGAGAATTTGATGGGAAATTTCTGGTATCAATTTAGTGCTTCAGATCGCTTTGGACGGCTTCTATTTGGATTCGTTTTGCGCGCAGCTTGTGCTAACAGCTTTCCAACATTTTCATGGACCACGAAAATGGCCGCCTTTCCAGCTTACGCCCGCAAAGACTACTTATTGCCAACGCCCCTTTAACAAGACGATCTTCTAAGAACTTAGTATTTCTTCTGTTGATTTAGAAACAGTTTACAATTCATATTAGTTGGGCTAAACCAGCTGCCAATAAGTTGGCGGGGTTGGTCGGTTGGGGGGTTGGTTGATTGGGAGGGGGGCTGGCTGGAATAGGATTTGTTAGGTTAGGGTGTTGGTTGGCTGGAGGTTTGGTTGGTTCGGGGGAGGACTAGTTTGAGGTTGTTGGTTATAGCGATGGTTTTGGAGAGGGATCAGTTAAGGGGGCGTGTGTTCGTTTAGTTACCGAATAAAGCATTTTATAGAAAAGCGGAATTAAGTATTCGAAAATTTTCTGGGGAGCGGGAGTTTACTTCGATGACCAAGAATTTTCTAATCGAATTAGCACAGATCTCGAGGGTTATCCTGGAAAAGCGGGGCGGAGGGTGCTCCGTGGTAGGACCTTATCTCCCAAACCAATTGGAGGTCCTGTCATGGTTTCAATTTGGTTTTCTCCAAATATTTTCAATGCGTTTCCTCCTTGGAATCTAATTTATGTCATAAACGAAAATTTGCTTATCCTTTCAAAAAAATCGTTTAAAAGGAAAGAGTTATCAAATCTGCAATCGAGCTAAATTTTATTGTTTATATGAATAATAGATGCAAGTTTATCATATATGAGTTGGAATATTCTTAGTGATCGCATTGTGGGAACAAATACAAAAGAATTCTTGGCGTATCCTTATCGTTATTGTCTAGTTTTATGTGCATTTCGGCACAACTTTAAGTCCAGATTACAAAACTTTCAATTCACACTTTACATTTCCAATAGTTAATCATGCTGCCTTAAAACGCGGGATGAAGAATGTGTAATGCGGTTGACCGGTTCATGTTTAATTAACCTTGGCATAGCTCAGTGTTTCCAATTTCTTGGCCAACTTTGCTGCAAAATGGTCGGCATTGGTCTGTGTAATGTTTAAACAACCTTAGTGGTGCGTTGTTAACATAAGCAGACCTTGTGTTTGGAAAAGTCACGTTATTCTATTCAGCGTTCTTAGAGCACGATTTGTCAAGACTTTGGGTTTTTTGTTGTAACTCGAGGTTACACGATGTAACGCAATATTAGACGCCTGGCTTTTCCTTTCCGGAACTTCAATTAAAACTTCTCATCAATCTTAATTTTTGGCTATCATTATTTATTTTAAACTCAGTTTTTGGCAATTGTGACTCGAGCTTTCTTCTGATCCAACCCTGGCTGACCTAAAGAGAGACTGGGTGGAAATTATATTTTAACCTAGGATAGCATCATAAAGAGGCCCCCAGGAGAGAGCCACCCAGTTGCTGGGTGCGTGGGAATCAAGAATTAAGACCTTTTTTCGAGGTCCTTTGCTGTAATTCAAATCTTTTCCCTGTCACCTGTCCTGTTTAATTTTTTTAGCTCCTTGTATGATTTTTACAACCTTAGCTTTTGAGTACGAATTATCTTTTTCTTAATCTTTTAGAGCTCATAACAATACAGCGTTCGGAAATGTTTAAATACGGTATCAATTATTCATCGTTTTCTTGAGTGTTCAGAGCTTGTGTACTTTTTTTAAATGAGATCTCGGTTTTTTGGTTTTAAATATAGACATAATCATGTGCAGAACTATGTTTTATTATACCAGAATAATCCAATATAATATTTAGTGCCGAAGTTTTATGTGAAAACAGGACATCATTTTGACAAGAAAGAGAAATCTTAAATTTAAGTGTTTAGTTCTCTATCTTGAAATGCAGAGATTCAATAAAATTAAGCAATTGTTCAAGCATAAGGAGCAGGAAATAAAACCTTGATTTGAATAAATAAATGATCGATTGTGTTTTAAGAACGATACCACTTTAGAAGTTATATGGAGGCTTGAAAGAAGACAAATTTTCTTCGAATGCACGTTGATTGTACATATGATTATCGGAATTGTTTTTTTGTTGAAGATATTTTCTGTGCAATATTGTTAGCAGATATAGTGATGTACCTTACAAGAGTTGTTAGTGCTATGTAAACACCGTTTAGGGTGATAAGGAGAAATAATATGAGCATCGTCAAGTTTGAATCAAGTTTTTTTGCTTTGATAGATAACCTCATTTGAAGAATGTCGATGGAGCGTAGAATGTCGTTTGGCCAAGATCGCCGCACTTGGAGAAAGAAGTTCAAGAACGATAGCAATGATAATAATGAGTCCAAATCAAAGGAAACTTCAAGGAACCAGTCCAGGGACCAGTCTATGGATTTGAAAGACGAAGAGATGCCTCTTGAGTCAGGCGACTCTAGCCGCCTACAAATTGCAGTTGGTGCCTTTCAGCGAAAATACCGCTCCATGTCTGTGTATGGTGAACATGTCATCGACATAGCGGAAAGATCCAAAAAGGCATTGTTTATTTTTCCTGAAAGAAATTCGATCAGGATGTTCTGTAAAAGGGTTGTGGAGAACAAGTATCCTTTTCTGCTTTTGATTTTGAATGTTTTCTTATTTTTTTATGTTAGTTTATATTTAAGAATCAATCGCATGAAGAATTATCAGCCGCACTCAGGGTAAGCATTTGATGTTTAGTGCCTTTCTTAATGCCCCCTATAGATTTTCCCACCTGTCACGTGACTAACTTATCGCCGCCATGATGATCACAAGCTAGTCTTGGATATACAGTTACGGTGTAGCCCAGAGTTTCAAATCAACTGTTGCCGGAAAATGTAGCCTGAGAGTTATGACTTAATAAATACCTTCAAGCTCTGCAGCTCCCATGAGCATTGATCATTATCTGTTTTTTACATTGTCATACATGTAAAGCATCTTTAGTCACTTGACATTGAAATTCTTTCAGGAAAGGCCAATCACTCCAATTGTTATTTCACTGGTAGATATTTTTTTATAAAGTTTCAATTTGTGAGAAAATCTTTATCCTTCTAAACCCAGAAGCAAAATTTTTTCAAAATGTTAGATTCTTCATGCTAAAACTTTAATGAATTCTTTTCCAAGACCGAAGCACTTTGATAACTAGCTAAACGATAGGCCCATTGTTATAATGACGTCGTTCACTCCTCGAAAACTTTTAATGAAAATATGTTTAAAAATTGTTATCAGGAAAAATGCAAAACGACAAAGACCAAACCAGCAAAATATTCGTTTATAATTTGATTGTTTATTTTACTTATATTTTTTTACCTAACAAGATTATTTATCGTGATCTCAGACTGGTATTTGTTGTCTTTTTCTCTTGTCCAAACGGCAATTTCTCATTGATAATACTGTCGTAATGACAATGAGATCATCAACGTATAACAACACGTTACGCTCTTGTAATATGTGCCTTTTGTCACGTAATCGCCTACAAGCAGTAAATCATATCTCGACTTTTTCTTTGCAAATTAATCTTCTTTTGCCATTATCCCAAATTTTGTCCAACAATACGAACAGCAGACTAATAGTACTGTGCTCTTTTGAATCAGACGATTTTAAATCGCACTCAATCATTTTTCTTCCTATGTAAACATGACGCTCTATTTGTCATGTCTTTCCTGCGACATCCAATCACCTCAAATTAAAGGCCTACCGAAATACATGGACTGTAGATGTAAAGCTACTAATCCTATTGACTTTTAATTCAACAAGACGTCGTTACAGCCCATATTTTCCTGATCAAAATTAGAAGCAATACAGGACTATTGTTTCGCTTGATCAATGCACGATGACCTATGCCAATGAATCACTTATTCTTTCTTTGAGCTTTTTCCTTCTCCTTCTGTCATGGCAGAAATTGTTTGCAAATCCCAATCTCAGTCAATACTTTTTATCTTTTTTGGTTGATCCGCTGCGAGCTCTTGCTAAATCCTTTCATATTTCAAGCAGTTTGAACGACAATAATACACTAAGCAAATAAATTGAGTACCAGAATAAAATGAAATAGTTTGCTTGTTATAAACACGACGTTTCGAGCGTGTACTCGTTTTGACTTGATGCTCTACGTCGAGTTTTTAACAATCAAACTATTTTATTTCATTCTGGTACTCAATTTATTTGCTTGCTATATTATCGTTATTGTGGATGAAGTACCACACGCAACGTGCATATTTAGTTTGAATAACAGCCTGTTGTACAAGCTACAATGAGTACAGCAAGAAAATTTGTTTCTATTTATTGAAGAGAGATCTGTTTATTTTATCAGGGATGTGCTATCACGTTAGGAAGTATAAAAAGAATATATGTGATAAATTTAAAAAATTTGGACTTGCATGTCATGAAGTTGATAAGCCGATTATGCAAGATTCTTTTCTAGGTTCCATTTTATTCAAGACCTTGTTTGCTTTGTTTAAAATTTGTATTTCAGGTCAAATGATTCCTGTAATAGTAAGCGAAAGTCCTTCAAATTTCGTTGATTCCTGTCAGATTAAAGCTATGAACTTTAGAAACTGTAGTCTTGTTTTAATAAATCGAAAACTCTGTTCCTGTAAGTCCTTTAGTCTTTTTATTGGGATATACAATCCAGAAGACTGATGTTAAAACAAACTCCTAAACGAATATAAGATAGCATTAATGATCAATGCGACTTCCTTGTCTTTCCCCCGTTTAAAGGTGAAGTGTATGTATTTGATACCAGGTTATCAGCATTAAACTGGGGGTGAAGATCTTAACAATGCCTGTCAGGATTGCAAGACACCCTGTTTTGCCTCTTTGCTAGACGCTTTGGACCTTAAACTAACTTACTATTTTCTCTTTAATAGCACCTCTTTCAATATGTTTATGAATTTATTACTCCCTCTTGCTGCTATGGATTTTTTTATTCTTATTTATGATATCTTACAGCTGCTCAGTGATTCATCCTTAACTAAATGTAGAATTTTCGAGTATTTTATCCTGCTAACAATTGCTACCAACTGTGTGGTGCTGATGATTGCAAAGCCTCTACCGAATGATGACTTAACAAAGCTCAATGCACAGTTGGTAAGTCTTCCACGATTCACAGATAAGAACTTTTGAAAGGGGCAGGGGATAAGAAGGAGGGGCGAAAATGGGTGGAGGAAGGCGGAATGGGGTAGATGAAAGCGGCAGTGGAAAGTGGAAGGTGGAAGTGGGAGAGAGGATGACGACCGATACTTATAAACAAGCTTAAACCCCCATCGTAGCTACCCTTTACCAGCCTCCCTATCCGAGCTACTCTTTACCTGCCTCCCCGTCCTAGCTACCCTTTACCAGCCTCCCTATCCGAGCTACTCTTTACCTGCCTCCCCGTCCTAGCAACTCTTTACCAGCCTCCCTATCCGAGCTACTCTTTACCTGCCTCCGCGTCCTAGCAACTCTTTACCAGCCTCCCTGTCCGAGCTCCTCTTTACCTGCCTCCCCGTACTAGCAGCTCTCTACTTGCCTCCCTGAAAAAGGCTTGTTTATGATCACTTTTTCATTAAGATCGACATTGTGCTTGAATTTCTGTCCTGCCTGCTAAGATTCTCCTTCGTGTTTACGTCACAGTGTCCCAGCTAAAAAGACCTTTGCCACCAAAGATCATTAAGCCTTGTTCTCATATTGCGTGGACTTTCGCCGACGCATTACGATATAAATAATAAGGTTTGAAGAGTCGAGGGAAAAATATGTGATGGTGACAAAACAAACGTTTCCTCATCGGACAGGAGGTGAAGTCAGTTAAGGTGAAAGTGCGTCAAGAGGAGATAAACGAGGACACGTGTATCTAATTCTGTAACCTGCAGCAGCTGCTGACAACGAAAAGGAGAGAAGATCATGTTAATTGATGAGATAACGTAGTTTCCGTGTGCAGCAAACAGTAGTTGTTGTGATTTGAGAATCTAGCGACTTATTCACTGCGAAACTGAAAAAACTACGAACTCTACGTGACGCATGATAAAACAGCTCTATCTCAGCGATCGTTAGAACTTTCTAGAAGCTTCTACGCTATTCTTAGTCAGCTAACAATAGAACAGCAATCAATCTACACTAACTACGTGTGCTAGACTAGCTAGTACTTACGAAAGTCATTAGCTCATTTACATAATCAGCAATTTGCAAAACTGTTGAGTGCAAGTTCCCAACAGTAGTTTACAGTTGTCGTGATGTCACCGTTTATATACAAATCGCATTATAAGCAACATCTAACGGTATTGCTAAAGACAAAAGGGATAAATCTATCTAGCCTAGGATCAGAACTCTTGGTGATATCAGAACCAAAATATTATGATTGTCACTATCAATGTGGTAGTTATTGTTGCCAGTAATATTGCAAACATGATAATCACAAATCATCCATAGGATTATTTCAAATCGTCATATTGATAATCAAACCCACCTCAAGATGGATCTAATCCCGAAATCGTGATGAAGATCATTCCCATTGCTATCACGGCTACGCATACATCATAATCATCGTAATGATTAACGTAATCATCAGCGCAGAAATCGTAAATTTCATAATAATCGTAATAATCATCGTAATCATTAACGTAATCTTTATCACAGTAAATTTAAACATCATTATAATCGTAATCATTAAAGCAATAGCACGTAATCATCAACGAAATCATATCGTAATCATCATCGTAATAATCGCAAATTTCATGTCATAATTATAATCGTAATCATTAACGAAATAATCATCGTTATCATCATCGTAATAATCGCAAACATCATCAGCATTACCAATTACCATCAATCACTGTCAGCTTCTCCATAATCGGAAGAATCGAAATCATCGTAACCATAATGATTATGATCATTTTAATCAACATATTAATTATCAAAATATTCTCGCAAAATCTTTATTGATTCAAAATCTTTTTTTATTTTTAGGAAAATGCAGATGCTGTTTTTGTAGCAATTTTCACTTTAGAAGCGATTTTGAAAATAATTGCATACGGTTTCTTTTTCCACTCGGATTCCTATTTACGAAGTGGCTGGAATATTCTTGATTTTGTTGTAGTTGTTGTAGGGTGAGTTGAGCCTATTATTTAACTTGCTTCTCCATCTACATTACCAATTAAAGATTACCTATTTGAAGACATCGCTGAAAAACAGAGGCATAGCATGCTTAAATTTTTTTTCGCCTATTACGCCTGTGGTCACAAAGAACGAACCATTCAATTCGCCATTCTCCTTCTCGCATTAGTTTCGATCTGCAAATAGAGATATATTTCGTCGGTTATATTCAAAAGATAAGCTCTTTAGTGTGTTTTGTTTTTGCTTTTCATGCTGCCTTCAAGTTCTGCATTACTAGACGTTTATTTATTTAAAGTTTCTATTATATTACTTGCTCTGAATGTTTTCAATGCTATACCCTTTCTTTATACTAATAATACATTTATCTAAATATGCATTTCATTTCATATCAATAATTTTTCTTATTTCTTTTACGTAAACCAGTTGTATTTATTTATTGATTGTGATGAAATATTTTCATCAATTATGTTTCTCTTTTCTTTTGACAGTTTAGTTCAAGTTTCTAGTCTTAGCAATGATTCTGACACGAAACGAAATTCAGAGTCGATAAGAGCCCTGAGAGCCATTCGAGTTCTTCGTCCTTTAAAACTGGTATCTGGGATACCAAGTACGTATTCCAGGCTAATTCTATTATTTTATTTGTAATTCCGTAGATACCTTACAATACCTCGTAGGATGGGTTCTTTAGTCCTTTAGTCCTTCTGTCCTTTATTCCTTCAGTCATTCAGTTCTTTAGTCCTTCAGTTCTTTAGTTCTTCAGTTCTTTAGTTCTTTAGTTCTTTAGTCCTTCAGTTCTTTAGTCCTTTAGTCCTTTAGTCCTTTAGTCCTTTAGTCTTTCAGCCCTTCAGTCCTTCAGTCCTTTAGTCTTTTAGTTTTTAGATCTTTATTTCTTTAGTTCTTTAGTTTCGTTGGGTGTTTAGTTTTGTTGGGTGTCTAGTTCTTCAGTTCTTTAGTCTTTTAGTTCTTCAGTTCTTTAGTCCTTCAGTCCTTCAGTCCTTCAGTCCTTTATTTCTTTAGTCTTTTAGTCCTTTGGTCTTTTAGTTTTTAGATCTTTATTTCCTTAGTTCTTTAGTTTCGTTGGGTGTTTAGTTTCGTTGGGTGTCTAGTTCTTTAGTTCTTTAGTCTTTTAGTACTTCAGTTCTTTAGTTCTTCAGTTCTTTAGTCTTTAAGTTCTTCAGTTCTTTAGTCCTTTAGTTCTTCAGTTCTTAGTCCTTCAGTTCTTTAGTCTTTTAGTACTTCAGTTCTTTAGTCCTTTAGTTCTTCAGTCCTTTAGTCCTTCAGCTCATTGGTTCTTTTTAGTATCATTTGGTTCTTAGTTACTTAGTTCTTTAGTTCTAAGTATTTTATTAGTATATTTCATAAGTATATTCAATAACTACTCTCTATCGAAATTCCACTTCCATTTTCTGTTCTTCCGAGAGATTTGCGGTCTGATGCCCTATCTCAGTAGAGAGAGGGCACCAGTTTTTATCAAAAATTAAGTCCAATACTATTACTCGGTTTCTTGTTTTTTTATTGACTTTAGTGCTCAAAGTTTCTCAATGGTTTTTAAAATACCAGGTTCTAAAGAGCTACTTTTTAGAACGACTAAAACGCTGCATAAGTTATCACAAAACATTGCCCTTTGAAACGCATATTTCACTGGCAACGATAATGTCATAACATACACAAGTGGCAACAAATTGAATGAGGCATGGCTGTTGGTGCTTCTCTGTACAGGTTACGGCATCTACATTAATTTTTAGTACTCAAAGACAACTATTTATTGATTGCTTTTAGCAATGTGTTTAGGTTATTTCGATTGTCACAGTTATGACTAACAGTAAAGCTTTGCTAACAGCTTTTTTCCCTTCACAGGCCTCCAGGTTGTGATGAAGTCGCTTATAAGGGCAATGGTGCCCCTTTTACAGATTTTGTTGCTGGTCCTTTTTGTTATTGTCATTTACGCCATCGTTGGTTTGGAGTTGCTTCGAGACAGCTTCAATTTCACTTGCTTTAGGAATACTTCTAGCGGATGTAAGCGAAAACTTTGAATACTTTTCTGTTGCATAGAAATACTGCGACCTTGAGATTTTTATACCCCCTCCCCCAGTAGTGGGACTGGGGTTAAGTTATTAAGAGAATCTTAATACGAACTTTAAGCCTCCTTCACAGCAACCTGCTTCAAATCTGGAAACCCTTTATTACAGTACCAGGACTCTGTCCTGGAGTCCTCAACCTTTTGATCATTTTGCCATTAAGTATCTTTATGTTTTTTACTGGCCTATTATACTTTCTCGTTAATCTTATTTCTGCCTCTCGTGCTTTCAGTTGTTTTGGCTCTGAATGCAGACGAAAGACCGCGTCCTTGTGATAAGAAAAATGGTTGGGGCAGAGCGTGTGGTTTTGGCGAAATCTGCCGCAAAGCATCTCCCAGTGAGTGGGAAGGGCCTAACGATGGTATTACAACATTTGACAACATGTTTTTGGCAATGTTGACTGTGTTCCAATGCATCACACTTGAAGGATGGTCAGATGTGCTGTATCTTGTGAGTGCTGCAATTGTGCTTGTATTTTGACGTAAACCATACATGATCAATTTTATTCTTTATTTTGACTATAAAAGCAATAATCTTTCTTTCTAATGTTATGCAAGCTAAAGTTTATTCTCGTAAAATAGGGAATGATTAATAAAGTATTGGGGAAAACAGTGTTAATTGTTTCCTCTTGCCCCCCCCCCCTTTATCGTCACATATTTCTAAAGACTTTTGAAGCCCAAAGTATTCTTTTGTGAGAAACTGCTCTTTTTTTGGATTGATTTCCAGTTTATCTTTGGCTCCAAAACATCCCTTTAAGAATTTTCTCAGATTTAAATTTTTACAATAAAAATTGGTTTACAGACCATCGATGCAAAGAATCAGAAATACTCGCTGATAACTTGGGGTGCTTTCACGCTTCTTATTGTCATTGGCTCGTTCTTCATGTTGAATCTCGTTCTTGGAGTTCTTAGTGGGTGAGTATGTTACAAATAAAGTTTTGAAATGATGACCTCATAACGTTTTTTAGTTTGGCCCACATATCCTCAAAGGCTATTAAAAAATCTCTAAATGTGCTAAACCAGTTAAGATGCTTCAAATTTGATGAAATATTGCCACATGAGAACAGGCTCTTTCTCCTTGAAATCATAACACAGTTGTTCTTTGTTCTAATATCTCTGGTCCGGGACTGCAGCAGATTTAGCTTATTATGCACTTTGGAGGTGTCTCTTGGTGTTCTTTAAGTCGATCTGACCAAAGTAAAAACTTTGAAGATACGAATTCAACCCAATGCACAGCTCGCAGTCTATCACAGTGCACTCCAGTTAAATTTAGATCTACAAGAATTTGACTTCATCTTCGACTGAGTACCACGAGGAGATTTAACAGATTTCCGCCTGCCCTGGAAAGACATTAAGTCGTTGCATTACAATATGGCACCTTGCTTTGAATCTTCACAGAGTTTCGCCACAGTGTTTTGTGTCGACCCTTGTGCTTTCTTATTGTATGTCGACTCGAATCTTGAGTTGTATTTGCGTTATCACTACTCGAAACTTGAGCCTTCTTCACTGTACCTTGACTCAACCTCGACCTCTACTCGACCTTGACCTTGACTCGACCTTGACGTTGACCTCTACTCGGCCTTGACCTTGACTCGACCTTGACTTTGACCTTGACTCGATCTTGACCTTGACTCGACCTTGACCTTGATTCGACCTTGACTCTACCTTTACCTTGACTTGACCTTGACCTTGACCTCGACCTCTACTCGACCTTGACCTTGACTCTACCTTGACCTTGACTCGACCTTGTCCTTGACCTTGACTCGACCTTGACCTTGACTCGATCTTGACCTTGATTCGACCTTGACTCTACCTTGACCTTGACCTTGACTCTACCTTGACTTTGACCTTGACTCTATCTTGACCTTGACCTTTACTCGACCTTGATTCGACTATGATTCGAACATTGAACTTTCCTCACAGTCCTTAACTAGAACTTTGAACTTCTTAAACGTACCTTGACTTGAACCTCCGCAAATTTGCCAAGGGTTCAATGACCAGAGACTTTGAGAGATCGACAAAAGTGACACTCAAATGCTGATTCTGACCCTTATGAATTTTATGCTTCTATTTGTGGTTTGGGCAATAAATAATACTAGCAAGTGTGTATTTTTTCAACAACAGAGAATTTGCGAAAGAAAGGGAACGCGTAGAGAAGCGAAAGTCGTTTATGAAACTACGGCGTCAGCGACAATTAGACCGCCAAGTTGATCAATACTTGGACTGGATAAACAAAGCAGGTAAAGTTGCAATCTTGTCTCTTGCTGCCTTTTTGGTCCTGCAGGTTTAGCTCTTTGCAGGAGATATGCCTAATTTCTAACTGTGGGTTCAATAGTGTTTATCAATGTTTGTTTGTTTAATTCTCAAACAGGAGTGGTACCACAAATTTTGTCAAGAAGGGGTTGAATTACCCAACCGAAGGGAACAAAATAAGTTCCCTAATCCAGACTCATAGTATTGTGATTTTAATCTTTGTTTTCTAAAAATGATGGGCTATAGTTCCTAAGTCTCCCTATAAGACAATTTTTTTGCTTCTCAGCAAATACAATTTACAAGACGAGACATTTTAACTTCCAAGTCAGACATATTAACTTACTAACTTCCTCATACGAAGGCGGTTGTTGTACCTACCGTAAATCCTCGAATTAATCCTGGGGGCTTATTTATTTTTGATTTTTTGGATGGGGGCTTATTCGAGGGGGGGGCCTATACGAGGGGGGGCTTGTTGACATTAAGAAGACATTATTAAAAGACCTCGTTTATTTTAGTAGAACTTTCTTTATGAGCATTTAATTAATTACTACCAAAAGTATGAATTTGTTGTGGTAATTCAATAAAACGCCAAGTTACGAGAACTTACGGTAGAAGTGGGGGCTTATTCGCGGGGGGAGGCTTTTTGAAGGGGGGGCAATTCGAGGATTTACAGTATATGTATAACAATTAGCTTAGCTCCCCCTCTTCTCCCTCCCTTCCCCCTCCCTTCTCCCCTTATTTCTTCCCCACCCTTCTCTCCTACTCTTCTCCCCCACCCTTCTCTCCCACTCTTTTCCCCACCTTCTCCCCTCTTTTCCCCACCCCCATTCTCCCCACTCTTTTCCCACCTTCTCCCCCTCCCTTCTCCCCTTCCTTCCCCCCGAATTTGTATAACTTAAAATATTATGTATGCATGCAAGTCGTACGATTTCTGAGTCCTTATGCCTTTTATCCTGAGAAATTTAAGTAATTTTACATCAAGTTTATCAAATTTGAAAATTTTTCTTTTCTCAATGGTAGAGGAAATTATACTTACTGATGAAGTTTTCGAAGATAATAAAGGTAAGTAGATACTTATCATTAATGAAATTGAAGTTTAGCAATATTTTCCTATTAATTTACAAATCTTTGGCGTTAAACCTATTTTCTTTCATTCATGCCATTTCAGTATTTAATAAACTGATTTATATACGGCAGTTCTTTATATGCACTAGTAGTAAGGTGCAATCAATATTTCTGTCTTTTATTTTTTTCAATTTTTACGTAATATTTTGCTGACCGCTAAGTTTTGATACAAAAATTAGGCAAATTAAATAATTAATCATTTCTCTAATTTTGCTCTTAAAATTTCTTCTCCGTGAACGTATTTGGCAAATTGAGGGTTGGTGAACACAGAAAGTCCTCGTTTGTTCGAAATATTCTTAAATTTTAGAGATAAGAAAAGCCCATTTTTCTATTTTGTGTTCAAAATCCTTGGTGAAATTCTACCACTGAATGGACCACGAATTGACTTTCTGGAAAGGTTAATTCGTGAAGGCATTTTAATACTAGAAAAGAATTAATCTTCGAAAACAACGCAATATAATTATTCAGACAAAGCTAAAATATAACATTTTTAAAAAGCTAAACCCTATTATTTTTAAATATTAAAATGCAGTTTATTCACTTACAGTTCTGTAAAATCTCTCGCTTCCTTGACAGAGGACCCCCTGGGAACCCAATTAGCAACCGCTTCGCAGAATGTGATGACCCCCGGTTGCTCGACAAGGCAACTGTTACAGGAAGAAAAAGAAGAACTGAAGAATATGCAGAATTCAGTGATGAGTCAAAACATGATCACGACCCCCCGTAAAAAGTAAGTTGATGGCTTACATATATTGAGCCAGCCTGCTTAATAAAGGATGGAGCCACTGATCACTTTTGCTCTGATTAAGCCCCGTATGCCGGGGCGAAGTATTAGCCATAACTGATTTATGTGTGTTTGTTGTTGTTCATTCCTGTCGCGTTGCATTGTTCCTTATTCACTACTGCTTAATAAAGGATGGGGTTTTCGTAGATGAAAACTGCATTAAAACACTGTTGATTTGAACGGATTTTGCTTAACAAATGGACCAAAGTGTGAGAATTGCTCAGTATTTAGGGTCGCAGACTAGAGAGCCGAGGGTATGTGATTTGAGTTACAGACACAAAGAGCTCTCACTTGGTGAGGAGAGTTGCCAGCTCTGTATAATTCCAGGTGTAGGAATTACGAGGTGTGGTCAGATTGAGAGGAAGGAACGGGACACTGCTTTATATGCATAGCTTCTTAGTGTCTAAAACTACTTTAAGCTGCTAGGTAGTTACAAATGCAAATGCAAAGAGCAATCGTTGATCGAGTTTTTAACACCTTACACCATCCATTGATAAGCCTCTTGGTTTCTTGCTATAGGAAAGTTCTCTGTGCTATGATTTGACCTTTCGCAAATCAAATAGCAGTGCTGTTGAGAGCGAGCTCGGGCCCAGCAGTGATTCACAAAACTGGGCCCCTAAGATAATGGCAATGTCCTTAAAACTCACGGAGAACTAGGGAAGCCCCTTTTTAGGTCCAATTGTTAACAAGGTTATGCAAATACATTGTAGTCAAGAAACAAGGATATAGGGACATCGTTTTTCTCTGTGATAAACTTGCAGGCGTCAAAAGAATAAGATCTTGTAACAATCCGATAGTAACATGTTGTATGACTGCTGGGCCCGAGCCCCGGACCTTTTACCCCTCTTAACCCCTCCTCTCGACGCTCCTGTCGAATATCAATCAATCTTGATGATAGAGTAACCAGGTAGCCATGCCTGTCGGTTTCATCCGCAAAAGTTAGAGATGTTTAACATGTTTTAATCTAGCAATAATTAGTTTTAATCTTTATCTATTATTCAAGCTAATGCCATCTCTTTTGCAGAAAAAGCTGCTTTCTGATGATCAAGAAATGCGAGAAGCGATTCCGTCTGCTTATAAGGAAACTGAGCAAGAATCAAATTTTCAATTGGGCTGTTCTTGTACTGGTTTTTCTCAACACTGCTGTGATGTCATTGCAAGAGTACGGACAAGAGGAATGGCTAAGCCGGTTGCTTGGTATGTTTGTCTGCCAAGATGCCGAATGATATTTAAAGTCTAACGTACATACGACCTTAAAAACGTTGGGTATAGTGTGCACGTTATGATTTAGGGGGGGGGGGAGGGAAAACACTGATTTCCGTGATATAGTGAATGCTGTATCATCTTGGCATAGCAAGAAACCTTAAGGGAGGGGGAGGGACGGCTGGCTGGCTGGCCCTCAGACGCTAAACCTTGAAGTGAACATACCCTCTGATTATTTCACGTATAAAGAAATTTGATCATTTCACGCACCATGTAGGACATGAGACCGAAAAATGCTAATACAAATTGTGGAAAAGTTCGGTCAACACAGTTTATTTATGAAAAAAACAAATACCCTTTTCCCAGCCCAAATTCAAAACTGCGTTGCTATGCTCGATTGTTAACAATAAAGCAACATTGGTCCAGAGGTACTGGAGGGCCTTTTAGTAAATTTCAATTTCTTTAATCGCCACATATTGCCAAATCCATGGACTTTTTTGCTTATGTTGTTTTGAAGTAGAAGCTACAAGTCAATTTTTCTGTCTTCTCCTTTCTAGATTTATCCGAAAAAGTCTTCACTGCTTTATTTTTTGCCGAAATGCTATTGCGAGTTTATGGACTGGGACTCAAAGTTTATCTGCGTTCAGCTTTCAATAAATTTGACTTTACAGTACGTATTGCCTTTATATACTGTTCTTTATTTTGCATTGCGTCAATTTTGCACAATTCATCAAATCTAGTGAATTTAACTCATATTTACGTATGTTTTACTGCAATCATCAATCACAATTTTTATTCCCACGTTGGGCGCCAGGTTTTTATATCACGTGTTGCAAGAGCATAGAAGAACGCCTGTACTGAGTGCTGTTTATTTCATAAGTCTGATTATTGATCTACAGCGAGTGATTTAACTCATGCGGCATACATCTTGCGATTCTAATTTTTTTGCCCCGCGTTGGGCGCAATTTTCTTATAGCATGTGAATCAATAGCTGAGAAACGCGTGTCTTACATTTTGTTTATTCCATTAGTATAAACGTTTTCAGCATAGAGCCAGCAGTACAATACCCCTGTGTAACAAGTCTAGTGAAAACGTCCCAGATATCAATTTCTTTCGCATAATCGAATGACCCCTGACATTTTCCCATTTCCCAGCGTCCCCTGCAAGCTAATTTTTTGTTCCCAATAAGTATTAATTTTCTTTTGGACATCCGATCCCCCGCCAGCCCAAGACAAATTTTGCAGCCCCTGCAATGCTTACTTGCTATCCCCTGTGAAGAAAAAAGCTTACCGAGCTTGTTACACGGGGGTATTGTACATCAGAGCAGCTGCAAACAGTTATTGCTTTACTTTCAACCAGCTCAGATGGTCTTGCATTTATGAGTGTCATCCTGTTTTTTCAATGATAATTCAAATGTAGAATGGACTAGATTTGTTAAGGCCCCAGAAATGCTATTTTCACTTTTGATCAGAATACAATTCCGGTAATAAACCTATTCTATGGGTAATACAGAAAATTAAAAGAGTATTGCTCAAATTTTACGTAAGATTGCAACGATTACCTATCTTTCAACGTTCCTAACAAATTAAGTCTCTAACTCATCATAAGCGGCATATTGATAAAAGCAAATAGGTGTACTCAGGTTTATATTTCCCAAAGATCAAACGATTATATCAGTGCGTCACACGTTTTATAGACTTACGAAATGAGTAGGTGTTCGGTGAAGCGGGTTTTCTGCATTTGAAAGGCGTCTGTATCTAAGCGGGAAACTTTATTGACAGATGGAAAAGCAGTTTTTCCATTACCGCCAATTGATAAAATCTGATTGATTTTTGAAGAAGGAATCAGACACCATTGACGTCATTCGTTATTTGGCCTCGCGTTATCAATTAGCGAAGAATTGAAGCTTCAACCTTTGCATGTTCTTTTTCCGATAACTGTTGTCTTTGAAGCTCTGGTTTTCAGGTTTGTGCCCATTAAAGAGTCATTGCTAACAATGAGCCATTGCGCTACGCAAGCATTCCATAATGCATTTTTAGACAGTCTGAAATCAATTTTGGTTAATCCGTAGAAGTTTACTGCCATTGTTTGGATCGTCGCCACGCTCGCAAAGGTCCATTGTTAGCAATTTGTCTTTAAAGCGAGATTGGGAAGGACAGATCCTCCTTACATATGCTGATAAGAAAAGCAACACGAACCTTTCTGCCAAAACAGTAGAATGAACATGTAGCATGAAAACGAGACCCGTGCTTTGATTGGTTGACTTGGTTATGACATAGGACCGGGCCACAATGGTACACAAAGCTCTCAAGGAGATGTGCCCAGAAACTCTCAAGGGGAAGTTGACAAGGAGAACTCAGATCTCAAAATACGAAACTCGGAGAATAAACGATCTCAAAATACCTAAACAACGGCTGGAACTCTCAAAGAGTTTTTCTTACGTCGGTGCAAAGGTCTGGAATGATATCCCAAATGAAATAAGAAATGTGGAATCTACTGACCTTTTTAAGCACAAAATGAAAACCTATCTCTTGGGCCAATAAAGTAAAATCTATACAGAAATAAAAGATAATAATAGCATGACCTCCTGGTAGACCAGTTTAAGTTTGTTAGAGTTTTTGTTTTTGTTTCATATGTAACTAACTCTAATTATTTTTTAGTAAATCTGTAACTGAAGGAGGATCATGAATGATATGAAAATATGAATATGACTACCAGGCTTTCTAGCACGTGTTCCGCTATCAACCTGAGTTAAGGAGATGCGGTCGTTGAACAATAAAGATTGATCCAGCCGTTCCATTCAATGTATATATACGGCTTTGAAGTGCAAGTTTGCTCTGTTCGTCAATTGTACTTGTTAACAAAATTTCTTCTGCGGTTCACGTCTTATGCCGGTTACCACCAAGTTAAATATTTACCCCCAAATTGTCTGTAATGCTGGTTCGATCTTGTCCGCTATAAAGAGGTTTGACTATCTTCTTCGAATGTTGAGAATAGTCTGTTTCTGTACTCTCTCATATTGTGAATTCTTTTAACAGGTTGTATGGCTAAGTATTGGTGATTTAATCTTGTACAAATATGCCAACGAGGAGCTTGGAATAAGTGTGCTGCGTTCGTTCCGGTTGCTGCGAGTTTTCAAGATCACAAGGTAGGCGCCGTAGCTACGTCACAAGCTGTAAAGACTTCAAAACACTTAAACACTGCGCTGATTTGACTGTTTTAAAATGCTATTGGCCAGCATTAATTCCAAGGGCTTACAATCCCTGTTTGTAGCTCTTGGTGTCAAGAAAAGTTTATTGCGGTCAACAGAAAGTTCAAAGATTTAGCGATATTTTAGAAGCAAAACATTAAAAAATCATTGATGGCAAAATGTGAGTTCAATTATCAGACATTTTCGGCAATTGATAGATAACGATTTGGATGTAGAATTTGTCTAGGCAATGTCTATTTAAGACAGTCATCTGTTAAGGGGCGGGGGAAGAATTTCTCTTTAAAGACCATCATACCGTAGCTTCTAAAGCTTACTTCAATATAAGAAGAGTACTCCCTCCCTGGCTAATCTTTGTAATCCACTATGGAGTCAATCGATTTTTGGCAAAAAAGATACTTCTGCTGAAAATCATGAAGGTGCACGTTTTCGTGCTTTTCGTACGAAATACAGATAGTTTTAAAAAAAGCCAAAGTGAGAGATACTTTGTACCCCTTCCCTACCCTTTTCTTTTCAAAGGGCGGACCGTTATGCGGCCTTTCAGGGTCGTCCATTCCCGGACTTCTTATCACATAGATTACTTGTTTATGATAACAATTAGCTGAAGTTTATGTAATTGTTCTTTAGGTTTTGGCGATCAATGCAAAATGTGGTGACGTCACTGATGAACAGCATCAAGTCGATTTTAAGTTTGATTTTGCTGCTGTTGCTGTTCATTCTCATTTTTGCCCTGCTAGGCATGCAGCTTTTCGGGGGAATGTGAGTTTTGATCAGATTTTCCATTTACGCGCTAATGGATTTTTCATGAATCAGTAGTTCGTGATTTCATACTTGCTAATAGCTTGCCATGATACTGAGCCTTAATATACAGTTTTATTTCTTGTTGGAGGCCAGGTAACATACTTATGTGTCTCAATATCATCATTATCATCATCATCAACATCATCATCATCGTCATCATCATCATCATTAATCATCATCATCATTATTATCATCATCATCATCATCAATCATCAACATAATCATCATGATCATCATGATCATCATCATCATCGTCACCATCATCGTCATCATTATCATCATCATCATCATCATCATCGTCATCATCATCATCATTAATCATCATCAACATTATTATCATCATCATCATCATCAATCATCAACATCATCATCATGATCATCATCATCATCATCATCATTAATCATCATCATCATTATTATCATCATCATCATCATCATCATCATCATCGTGATCATCATCATCATCATCATCAATCATCATCATCATCATCATCATCATCATCATCATCATCATCATCATCATCACCCAATCCATTCCCTAACATCCTTCCTCCACCCGTCTCTAGTTTTCCTGATTAAATCCTATATTTGGCATCCTGTCTACTCTCTAATGTCATCTAACCACGTTCGTTTTGGCCTTTCCTTTCGGTCTATCACCCTCTACGTCTCAATATACGTCTCAATAAACAAGGGTGTGTTCTTCTTGACGTCTCAATAAACAAGAGTATGTTCAACAAACTCAATTTCAACTTTCTACTTCAGGTTCCATAAAAGTATGACTCAAGCAAGAACGAATTTTGACGACTTTGTCAAAGCAATGTTGGCTGTATTTCAGGTGGGTTTTTTTGCCTGTTTTATATGGTGACAAAAGTTGATAGAATAACAAACTCTGGTATGGTGGTGAAATTTCATTTGATAAAGAATTTGATTTGATTAAAAAAAATAAATGATGGCAAAGTCTGGTATGATGACGAAATTTGATAGCATCCTGAACTTTTTTATGATGATGGGATTTCATACAACAAAGTACCCTGATATGATGATGAAATTTGATATGATGACGAAATTTAATATAATAACGATATTTGACGTGACGAAAATTTTGATTTGATGAAAAAATTTGACATGATGGCAAAATTGATATTTCTTCAAAATTAAGTCGAGCAGCTATCGATGTTTTGGTAGTCTTTTAGCTTTATACCAAGGCAAGCTCTTTCAGAGAACATTAGACCATGAATTTGATATTGTTGTTTCCAATACTATGACGTCACGAGGTAGAAAAGAATTCCAGGGCTCAAGACTTTGTGAACTCATTAATTTTGAGGTCATGAGGATGTCAACGCATTAAGACCTTGTAATACATATGGTTGAGTTTTTCTTTCTTGTTGGAAACTTGTTTTCTTCTTCTTAACTTGGAAGCTATGGCTAAAGCAATTGATTTTAATCGTTAATGACAGATAATGACAGGAGAAGATTGGAACTCGGTGATGTACAATGGTATCAGTGCTGCAGGGGGACCAAAATCATTCAAAGGAATGCTGGTGTCTCTTTATTTTGTGGCACTTGTTATCATTGGCAATTGTATCCTCTTCTAACAAATGTTTGTAATCAAAATAAAACGGATAATCTAATTTCAAAGATCAACCTCTTTCTTTTCTTTTTCCTCTTTATTTACAATGCCTCTTCAAGTCTCAACTGCTCGTATTCTTTTCCTAAGAAGTGTCAATATTCATTCCCACTTTTTGCAGACCATTTTTAACTTTGCTTCTGCTTTTCATTTTCGATCTTCCTCTTGATAAAGCCATGTCTATATTCGTCTTTGTCGGACGACCATCTCTTTGTTCAAGAACTTAAATTACCTGATACTCTTATTGAATACCTTAATCTAATTTTGAGGTATTCTTTCTTATCCTTTGAACAAATTAAATTTTGTTATTTATCATTTCTAGCTCCAGCCAGTTCGTTTGAAAAATCAGAAATCATAACGCCTTTTTCTATTGTGTTTACTTCTATTTAAAGGCAATCTGTCACGACGTTGATTGATTATAAGAACAAAGGGATTTTTCATTGTTTCCAGTCCCCCTTTAATTTATCGCATTGTAAAAAATATGGCGGAGCGCTGGAATTGTGTTTAGGCTATTGTTCCAGCTATTGTTCTCGTTAACCAATCCACAACGGGACAGATTGCCTTTAGGCTATAGATTTATACCTCTCTAAAAGAATTTTCTCAACCATACCCTTTTTACGTTGGCTGTCTGGAGAGTACTTCGTTAGTCCGGCGAGTATTAAGTGCAAGGAACTAATTTAAGGGTCCTTAACCCGTTTGCAGACACACTGCTGAATGTGTTTCTTGCTATCGCCGTTGACAATTTAGCGAACGCGCAGGCTTTGACACGTGACGAAGAACTTGAAATGAAGAAGCAAGAAGAAGCAAAACAAATGAGACGGAAGAAGATGAATGAAGATAAATGGAGCAAAGTACGCGCCGTGCCGAAGATCCTAGCAATAAGAAGGAGATCAGACATGAATGACAACCCATTTTCTGGGATGACATTTCAAAGAAGAGACCAAAATAATACAAGGTGTGGAAAACAGGCCAAGTTTGTTCTTAACTTTGATTAATCAAAATATTCCTATCCTCATTCAGTAGGAAGTGATAGGAGAATGAGAAGATTTCCAATGAATGAAATCACAAAAAGCTGCTGAAAATTGATGTGACTCAGGACAGACCTATATCTGTTTCGATATGTAAAAAGTTAGAACCATGTAAGTTGCCCCTTGAGACATTTGTGATTGACACCACATTCTTTAGGGCTGCATTGAGAATCGGAGAGAATGCAAGAACAGAATTGCTTCAGACAAGATTGGTTTTTTATGCGAGCCAAAATTCATAACGAAAAATAATTTTTTCCTTTGATAATTATCTTCTAGAAAAAGACCCGCAGATGTATCTAAGCAAAAAGAGTCGGTATGTTTATCATTGAATTAGAATTTAGATATTTTAATAAATAAATTAGACTAGATTCATTTCACAATATTTCACGCATGTTTCTTGCATGTTTCAAGCATTTTCCCGCAGATTTCCCGCGTTGCCTGTACTTGTTGACAGTGTTCCAGCAACCCATTCGAAGACCGTTTGCATATTAGATTATTTGTAATGTGAGCTTATTCTTTGTCATCAGTGCGCCAAACTCTGTTTTCTTTTGAAAAATGTTTCCTTACATAAGCAAATGTCTTTAGTCCTTTATTTGTGATTCTTTTTCGGCCAGTTTTAGGAATTGCAGATGTTTTTTACATTCTGCTTGCTTCCCAACACTGCGCACTGTAGATATCCAAAAAGCTTTGTTGAACAGATTTGATATCGTCTTTGAAATATGTTTCCGCTTCGTTTGAAAAATTAGGCCGGTGCTGAGAAGTTGTGCGACGTCGTGTTTGAATATCGCCGAACGAAGAAAGACGCTGCATCTCTAGGGGAATCTTCTCAAAGAACAGGGGAAGCTTCCCAAAGAACAAGAAACAGGTCCCGACCACATGGCTCAGGTTTGTTTTATTTTTTTTTTAAAGCATCTAATTTTTAAATGCAGTCCCATTAAAACAATCTAGATTGAGACAGAGGTGTCGATGGCCTCATTTCCCTGCAGAATGTAAAGATTTTCCAAAAATCTTCTTCAAAATTCTTAAACTTTAAACTTTAAATTTTTTTAAACTTTAAACTCAGAGTCGCCCACAATGCAAAAAATATTCCACTCAAATTAAAAGACAATCCACGGTAGCGGATGGGTTTCTGTAGTAAATTAAAAAGGGGTGTCTCTTTTTAAAATCATCGAGTTTGCTATCCTTAGCAATGGCTATTTGAAAAGTTTGTCTCGGAGTTTCGAATGATAAAATAGTGTGTTTTCATATCTCTGGTTTCATATGATCAAGACTTCCCTGTAGAAATACTTTCTTTAATTGTAGACTCTCATTGTTTCATCGTCTTAATGCAAACCCATGTAAATGATATCAGTAAGATATTGTAAGTGAAGTTTTGTAAAAGGAAAGCAGGCCAATGGCGTTTTCAAGTAATAAAGGCGTTCAAATTTTGGTGTTTATCGCTGTATATGAAGAAAAGTGTTTTCTATGTTTCATGGAAATATATGCAAATGAGTGAACAGGCTCAACATATCTTCACGTTCTAGGTTGTTTTTACTCTGTTGTAGAGTAATGAACCTTCTAGCTAAAAGAAGGGGCGTGAACATCCCTTGGCTGGGCTTAAGCCAGAACTGGACCTTTAAATAGGGAATTTACACTCCCGGTGTGTACACTCTCATTCAGTGGTTTGCCTGAGCTCATCCGAGATCTGAAAAGAACCCCTGTTCTCTCTGACTTGTCTGTGAACTTTCTATATCCTTTTACCCCACGGTTTTTGCCTATCGTTAGATTGCTGTGTAATATTCTAGGGCGAATCATTCGGTGTCATTACCTTATTCTTTTTTCTTTTGATCTTATTTCTTTACTAGATAAAGAACTATCCTTATCAATCATTTCTTTTTTTGCAACAGGAAGCTCTCAAACCAAAATTCTGCAGAGAAGACAGCTGTCCGCCGTAAAAATCATCCACGGGCGCTCCCTGTTTCTCTTCTCGACGAACAACAGGTTCCGGCTATTTTGTCACAGCTTGGTGAGCCTGAAGCATTTTGATCATATCATGCTTGTTATCATCATACTGAGCAGCATTATCTTGGCAATGGAAGATCCGCTGGTTGTTTCATCCAAGCACAATGATGTAAGTTTTCCTGTTTGTAGACATCCATTTCACGCCATTGTACAACATCTTATAACAGGGGTGTAGAGCAAGGGGGGCTCAGGGGTCTGAGCTCCCCTTGTTGATGCCGAAAATTGGCAAATCTCTAATTTTGCTATTGTTTTTCACAACATTTTGGGAAAGAGCCCCCCTTGTTATTTTGATAGCACTACACCACTGGCTATATATGGGCTGTGCCAAGCAGGGGTAGGGTAGGGTTGTAGTGTTATGTGGGGGCCCTTCCAATATAATGCTCAAAATCTGTCGCAAGAACTAGAAAAGAGTTACGTTTTGGTACTAACAAGCCCTTGACTGGGCCCCGTGCATGCATGTAGCCTCCCCTATTTCCTCGAAGGGCCCCTCATTTTTGAGTCTGCATGCAGCCTCAACTCTTTCTGTGACTTGGGCTATTTTTCCACATTCCATTTGGAACCGTAACGATTTTGGTACGGATATGCCTCGCATTTTTACGGGATCATGGAAACCGATTGCAGTAAATAATTGTCTCCCCGTCTTTTTCCTTAGCAAACTTTGCAGATTTGTAGTCTAGGGTTATCTAAATAGGAGAGCTGTTTCTTCTCCGTGAGGCTAAAAGATCTAACTTGATTGATTTTCGATTTTTTCTCTTGACCTAAATGAACGAAGCTTGAAGAAAAGAAATTGGGGTGCTTTGCAGCTTTGTAGGCGAGGATTTTCTAAGTAGGAGAGCTCCTTCTTCTTCCATACAGCTAAAATTATTGAACTTGGTTTGCCATGCTGATTGCTTTTAGATCATTGCTCTTGGCCGAAATGAACAAAGTTCAAAGAAAAGAAACTGGGATGCTTTGCAGTTTTGCCAGAACCGGTTTCGTGTAGACGCGAGGCCTAACTGTACTCTCTTTGATACGGTTGCATTTTATTTGCTTTTTTGATCACTTCAAGTAATTTACGTCAAATTTCTCCAAAGCGGAAAATTTGTGGTACCACTGTTGAGGCTTAGGCACCAAGCACTTAACATGGAATAAGGCCTTGCCGCTTTTTCGAGAGGGGGGCTTTCTCGAGGAGGGGGGGGGCGTTTCGAGGATTTACGGTAACATGGAAAAGGGCCTTGCCGTTACTTCTCTAATCACCATGCTCTTGGTTTGAAAGTTCATGCCGAATCACCGTTTTAGTGTGCATTTAATCGACGCCGCTTTGTCCGTTACGCTGTCTGTTGGCAGAAGCAACTTTACCTAGGCGAATGGAATGATATGCTAATTCTCAGGCGTGGCATATTAAGATCCCAAAGAAACATTTTTTTACGAACGTGGTTACAAATGCTGCTTAAAGAAGAAAATATTTGCTTTCAAAGCGCATTGTGCAGATTAGATAGAAAATCGCACCAGGCGTCGTTTTTTAGCTGCAAGAAAAATGCTGTTTTCCGTAGCCTTTGACGTCGTAATATGCCAATGTTCCTTCAAAATATCAAATTTATCTCTCTCTCTTTTGCAGCTGCTGAGAGATATCGATATTGCATTTGTGTCAATTTTTACTTTTGAAGTGTTGTTAAAGGTATTTCTGATTATGTTTATTAATTCTCACCTTGACTGAATTTTTTAATCTTCATTTTCAAAAATCTCAGCTTTTTCAATATCTTTATTTGTTTTTCGAAAGAAATTTCATCTGAATGGGGTTTTACAAATACTTCGGTGTGTTTCCAAAGTTTCCGCTAGATAAATTTGCTCCAAAAAACAGCAGAAATTGGAATCCTCCACGCAGTCCTTTAGGGTTTACTTAGTTGATAGTCCATTTATTGTTTCTACTTCTCGTGCTTATGCGAAGGTGCAGATTTCTTGGTCCTAAGACTATATAAACCAAAATCAATTTTTTGTTCGCTAAAACTTTTACCCCCAACTCTGAAGGGTGTTTTGCAGTCCCTAAGGATACATAAACAGGAAGATACACAATTCGCTCCCGGTTTTTCTTGGTTTAATTTCAAAATTTGTTTACTTTTCCATAGATAGTTGCTCATGGTTTTATATTACATAAAGGCTCATATCTTCGAGATTGGTGGAATGTTATTGATACCTTTATCGTCGCCTGCAATATCACGGCTATAGTATTAAGGTTTCATTTTCTTTTTTATACCATTTTATTTGCTTTGCGATTTTGTCTTTCTTCCTGATTTGCTTTTTTTTTTCTTAATTCTTCTCTTTACTTCTTGGTTTTCTTTATCCTTTCTATCTTCCTTTCTTGTTCACTTGCTATCTTTCTTGCTTTCTCTCTTCTTTTGCTTTTTTGCTCTTCTCTTTTTCATTTTTCTCTCTTCGCTTAACAATTTTTAGCGTCTCATATTTCCAAGAGCGAGCAGCCTCAACCTTCTATTTCAGCCCATTTCTAGCCTTTCATATAGTTATTTATTTCTCTGATTTTCTCTTGATTTTTTATATTCCATTTTTCAAATTGTCTGTTTTGTGATTTAAATTGTTCTCAACTACAATGTTTATAAAAGGCTCAACAAAATGAGATGAGACACTGAGATGGCTGAAAAATTAGCTAAATTCTCAGAATTAGTGAGCTGATTGTTTGAGTAATAATGATATTTTAATTCTTATTATTTTAAAGATTAATAATATGATAAATGTTTTAAATAATTTATTAACTGTTTCAAGCCATACGATTGTTTATTTATTCTTTCTTTTGGCGGTTTTCTTCTTAATTGTATATAATTCATTAATTGTTTTTCAGCTTATTAATTTATTTCTTAACATAGCTCCATTCTTAGCAAAACGTTAAACATGGTTCTTTTCAAGCTTGTTTATTTTTCAGTTACCAGGGTGACGACTTAGCTTCGGGTGGAGGCCAGACGTTAAAGTCAATGAGGGTTTTGCGAGTTTTTAGGCCACTAAGAGTTGTAAACAAGCTGGAAAAATTAAAGGTTTTTAGTTTGCAGTTTTTTTACGAATATAGTTAAATGAATTTTTGCTTCAATTCGCGATCATTAATCCAGCATACTAACTCGTATTTCAATTTTCAATTAGAATAACTAATGCATTTTTGCCAAACATTGTCGATCTATTTGAGAAGCAATAATATTAATAAAATATTAGCTCTTCTTATTCCACTGCTAGAAGTTCTCCATCAACTATTTTTTTATTTTCATTTCATTTTCAAATAATTTAAGGAGGGTAGACCTTCAGCGATTCGGGTTTACAAGGGGCCCTCTATTTGATTTCCAATTTTACATTAAAAAACAAAGCTAAATTTTAATTGTATTCTAGTTTAACCAGTTGTTTGCAATTGCTTTAAACACCTCGGAAGTTGATTATTTCGACGTTTTCAGCCAATTTATCTTGCATCTCATTCACTGTACAAGAAGAAGTAACATCAAATTAATTTATGACATTTTTATTTTCAGGTCGTCTTCCAGTGCATGGTTTTCTCGTTGAAAAGAGTGATAAACATAATAATCATCACCATGTTGTGTTTGTTTATGTTTGCTGTTATTGGTGTACATCTATTTCAAGTATGATTTAATTTAAATATTTTGTTAATGATAATACTTTTAAAAAATACCTGAGTTCAAATTTACTTTTGTTTAGAAAGAAATCGTCTCTTTTTGGCGAGCCTTTTCAACTTTGCTAATGGCGCAGGGACATTGACTGTTCGAAGCGATTCAATTTGCTTTCAATTGGCCTACATCGAGGACATTATTTTTCTTAACTTCTGGTCGCTTTCACTGAATGTTTTTCTATCTCATTAGTTGCGGGTGATAAATCTTAAATCTACATTAAGATATACTTCCTTTTCGTTTTTCACTCTTGAAAAATAAATTTATTAACAATTATTATTATTACCGCTCAAGTTTATTTTGAAAAAAATCTTCAAGTATCTGTTGCTGTAGCTAAATTCCGAAACACAACTTCACAAAACTTCTTATGTAAAAAGGCTCTTGATATTCTTGATTCTGTTCTTTCGTCAACCTTCCATGTCGTGTTCCCTTCTAACCAAGCCATCACATTTTTTAGGGCAAGTTTCAAAGCTGTAATGACGTCACAAAACTAACCAGAGAGGAATGCCAGTATGATAATTGATTTTTCATTAAATTTTTTGCCTGAAAATTGAACTTGTTATCATATATGATGCATAGATCATCATTATTTTCTATTTTTTACATGTTTACTCGTCCGGTTGTTTTAGCAGTCTTGTGGTTTTTAAGACCCCGGTTTTAGATTTGAAGCATCCGGAATCCGTCAAACATGATATTGCTATACAGTGGTAATCAATGGAGTTGAGCGTGTTGTACTTCAAGTAATTAGCAAAAAGTAATACAATAAAATAACGACATTGAACAAGAACAAAATTAAAGTACGATGTTTCAAGCATATCTCTTCATAAGTTAAAAAGAGTACCGTTACTCCTATTTTTTCCCTTACGAGTTATGCTCGAAACGTCGCACTTTAATTTCATTTTTGTTCAAAGTCGTTATTTCATTGCATTAATGATATCGCTATAGACTGTCGTTATTTTTACTACAGGGGAGAATTCTTCATGATGAAAAACTGGCATCTCTCTGAACTAGCGGTAATAATCATTTTTATCATATCTAGTATTTGAATTTTTTATTGCATATAGTAATATATAGATAAAAACGTTTAACTATCTTACTTTCTTAAAAATATACAGAATCGAAAAGTAAAAGTTATGGCTGGTCTGGGTAATAAGGTTAAGGGCAGTATGGGTAATGTGGTGAAGGGCAGTATGGGTAATATGGTGAAGGGCAGTGTGGGTAATATAGTGAAGGGCAGTATGGGTAATATGGTAAAGGGCAGTATGAAAAAGCATCTAAACACTTCCTGTTGATACGCAAGAAGAAATTTTCCATCTTATTCTTGTCAGATCATGAAATTTCCGGTAAATTTCTTTTGAAACTGTACACTGTAAGCATGAATTACCAGAGGCGCCCTTCAATAATATTTTTCTCTTTGTTAGTAAAATATGCCAAAGAGTGCTTAAATTATATATATATGCTTCTATGATAATTACGATATCGAAATCATTCAGTCGCCAGAGGTAACTGGTAGCTAATTGAATAATCAAAAGGTAAACTAACTGTATTTTTTAGATCTGTATGATTTATGGATATAATCTCAATGTACCGTATTTAGACCATACGAGAGACTTGCCATCTTTGCTAGTATCTGATTTAGACATTGAGTTTCCTTCAGACATATTCGAAAGTACTTCTTCTTTGCAAAAATACTTAAAGTTTTGTTTTATTATCAGGTCCTGCCTCGTGTCTGGAAAACATTTGAATTCAATTTTGATACAGTGCCTTCTGCCATGCTGACACTTTTTACATCTGCAACTGGCGAAGACTGGCCCAGGTAAATCTTCATGTGTATTTGGGACTGTTCTTTCTATTCCAGCCATGTGCATAACTCCCTTTAACGGCACAACACTTTTTATGCTTGTTTGATGCTTGCAGTTGATATAAAGCATAGCTTTGTGTTCCAATCAGTTTAGTAATATTCTTAATGACGTCAGTATGATCTTGTCCTACCCAGTCCCCTAGCTCTAGCTTCATTTTCTGACCTGAAGATTTTGTACAGCTATCAGTGATTTTTTCGCCGCCTTTTTATGAAATCTACACCAGGACTAATTTAAATCACCTACTTCAATTCTAGTCTATATTAGTGCCAATTCCACTTCAGTCCCACTATGAACGAACGTGTTTATAATGGCTTTTGTTTCAATTCACTAATCATTTTGCTACATCATCTTTTTGATACAATACTGAAAGTATTTTCAGGAGTAATCTAATTTAAAGAATAAAAACGGAAGTTTGATTGCGCTATAGTTTCATATTTCATAGTTTCATAGTTTCGTGAATTCTATATAATGCGCAAAACAATGTTTTAAACAGACAAAACGCATAGTAGAGAGTACAAGAGAGACAGCAGTAATGAATGAAACAGACTAATGAATCACCACTGGCCTAATGCTCTGTGAGGCTTTTCGACTTCACTACTTCAATATAATAGTACACAAGTACAATCAAAAGTCGCCAATCACTTGCCTATTTTTGTTTGCAGAGTCATGCATTTAACAATCGATTCAACCAAAGTCGATCATGGCCCAGTACTAGACAACCGTGTGCACATGTCCCTGTACTACGTCTGTTTCGTTGTCATCTTCAGTTTCTTCTTCCTGAATATTTTTGTTGCTTTGATCATTGTCACATTTCAAGAAAGAGGCGAACGGGAGCTGACTGGATGCGAATTAACAAAAAACCAGGTAACGCCTCACCTCCCCCCCCCCTGATTTACCTTCTATTTTCCATTTTTTATGTTTTTACGATGCTCAAGAGTATTGGTGATCAAGACCTCCAGCGAAGCACCAATCTCTAGCTAACAAGAAAATGCAATTACCCCCATGCTGGAGCGCGAATCTACTACTTTTTTTGTTATGATTCTTCTCTTAAACAAGCAAGGCATTGTCTATTTAACTTACTTGAGGCAATTCATGATCTTTCACAGGTCTTTGCACCTTCCATTGATACCTTTATACTTCATACTTTATACTCCAGAGTGATCATTGGGTCCTCACGTATTTATTCTGCCAAAACGTTTTTGGTTTTTCGCGTTTCATTTTCTTGTGAACTGTTCTTTGTTGGTTTTTCTGTCAAGGCGATTGTTATCTGCTTCTGAATTGTTGAAAGCATTTCTTGACTAATTTTTTTTTCTAGAATATATATTCATAATTCAGATGCAAAGCATTATATCTTGTTAAAAAGACTCATAAGAAGTCAGACACGAAAATTCGGCTATCCATCTAAAACCCATCTTTATGTACTGAGTAATGATTTTGATTAATGGTTTGTTTTCTGTTCGCATATCCAGCGAGCCTGTCTGCAGTTTGTGCTACAAGCAAAGCCAAGACAAAGATTCATGCCACAAAACAAAGACGGCGTCTGCTACAAAGTCTGGCGAGTTGTAGACTCAAAACTGTTTGAGATCGCCATCATGACGCTGATTGCTCTCAACGCCATTGTGCTTATGCTTTCGGTAGGAGATACTATATAGTTTTAGAAGACTTCCCACTTTAATGTTTAATGATACTCTAATATGTTGCAGAAGTATGCAAATCATATTGTGTTTGTTTACAGATTTGTGTTGAAAGTATCCACTCCTATATGAGTTTCTGAGAACCATTATTTTACCGGTTTTTTCTATAATTTTAAACGTTAAACGTTTTTTCTATAATTTTTTCTATAATTTTTTCTATAAGTTTACAGCGTAGAAAGGGCTGTAAACGCTTTCGTTTGTAGATCAGGATGGTTCTAAGGTGCTTCTCCGAATTTCATTCTTATTTTTGTTTGAAGTTGTTTTTATAATGTTGGCCAATATGATGAAAAATGCCACACGAGCTTGGTCCGAAATTGTGCTTTTATTATCTATCTTATTGCGACCGTCTTATATTCTTGTTTATTACTAAGAATTATTTTATGACTAAGACTAAATTGACATAATCTGCTGACTTCTAAACATTTTTGCATTTTTACTTTCTCCGGAAATCTTTTGCTCACCCACTTCCCCAATAAAACTATTTGAAATGCACCCCTGGTATATCCTAAGTGTAACTCATGTCTTAGTTTGTGCTGTTGAGTTTTAATTTTCATCGAAAACAAAACAAAAGTGTATCAGCGTCTTAAAAAGCACTTTACTTTTGTCAGACTGCAGATGAGAGTCCCACGTATAGAGATACTCTGGAGATGCTCAACCTCTTTTTCACGCTGATATTCACCTTAGAAGCCTGCCTCAAACTCATTGCTTACAAACTGGTATGGTTTTTTGTATCTCTGGTAGCACATCCTCGGCTTGACTACTAGAATAATACAGCTGATGTGTATCACGCAATTTATTGTTGGTGTTTACGAAGAAACCCCAAATATGCTGGGGTTCTTTGTTGATTTTTACATTAAGAATCTCGGGTTTGCATCACTGGTCTTGTGGGGAAATTTCTAACAGTTTTCTTCCATTAATGGAAGTTCAAGAGACAAATCTTTTACCATATGAAAGGAAATCTTTCCATTACTATACATATTTTGTGATCATGACTAACCTAGTGCTGTCAAAGAATATTTAGCTCACCTGAGTATGTATATTTAAATCCTAACAATAGATTAAAAACCTGTTTAGCCTTTTAAGCTAAATATTATTTTAAACAGCTCCCTTTTACACGATGTTCTATTTTTCAGAATTATTTCAGAGATGGATGGAATGTCTTTGACTTCTTAATTGTTTTCATGACCTTAATTGGTGCTTTTGTCAACCATTACAAGAATGTAAGTTACACTGTTTAAAGAACCATAATTCTGTTTCAAGGGCTTGTGATATCTTTGGAACACTTTTGTACATTTACAAGTGTTTGCAAAAGGTTACCAAAAAAAAATTAAACGTTTGTTAACCTTCTTCAATTCTTGTAGACCTTGCTAGACCTTTGTTGACGTTGCTTGAAGTTTTTAGACGTTGTTCTACATTAGCAGAGTTGTTGCTCGATGTTTGTGGTTGTTGCTCGACACTTGTAGTTGTTGCTTGACGTTTGTAAACAGTGCTCGATGTTTGTAGACATCGCTCTAGGTTAGCAGACGTTGCTGGACTTTGTTTGCAGACCTTGCTCGATATTTTTGGACATTACTCGACTTGTTGTAGACGTTTTTAGACACTTTTAGACGTTGTTCGACGTTTTAAGACAGTGCTCGACACGCTTGTAGACGCTGTTCAAAACTTTTAGACGTTGTTCAACTTTTATAGACAATGTTTGACACTCTTGTAGACGCTTTCCGACGCTTTTAGACGTTGCTCGACCTAAGAAGACACGTTTGTAGACGTTGCTCGACATTTGTAAACATCAGGAGGCAGATTCCTCGATTGTGTTTGATATTTTTCCTTTAGTTGGCGTGAGTAGCTTTTCATTTCACAAACGTTCTGATATTATATATTATTGCTTTCAGGATTCAACTATCGACCCGAGTTTCTTCAGGCTTTTCCGTGCCTTCAGGTTGATCAAGCTTCTGAAGCAAGGCTACAATATTCGTGTTTTGTTATGGACATTCTTACAATCTTTTAAGGTTTGCGATTTCAATTCTTGCCAGTACGACTAAATTTATATCAAAGCAGGAAATAAAATCTAGCATTTTATCGAAGCTGGGTTTCAGCTTTACCTTAATTAAGGTTTTATTTGATCCAGTTCAATCTTTCTTTTGGCTCATTTCTTTTCATTTTCTGGATTCAGCGATAATGGCAATGTCTGATTTTTTGGTAAAAATCGTCATACATTTTGCAGGATAACTTAAAAAATCTGTGTGAACTTTTCAGGCAGAAAATTGCCTTCAGTGTAATGTTATTTTGGACTGGAAGGTCTTTAGAAATTGTCTTCCGATGATATATGTTTGTTTCAATGAAAACAATGGAAATCAGCTTAAAATTTAACGACCCTTTGGTGCACGTAAAGTGACGTCATCCTTTGCAAGAAATCTTGCAGCTATTTGATTTGATAAAATGTTACTTCTGCAGGCCTTGCCCTATGTCATGCTCCTAATATTGATGTTGTTCTTCATATACGCTGTTATTGGAATGCAAGTGAGTAGCATTGTTTTGTCTCTTATGAAGGACAGTCAGGTGTTTATAAGAGGAGGGCAATACGTTTTTGAAACTCCTAGCTGCACAATCTCGACTGAATTGATGACATAAGTCTAGTTAACAAATGTTATTTCTTTCTGTGTAAGGATTGTTATGATTCTAGTTAATTTGATATCATAGAGAAGAAAACCCAATATAAGATGGATCAAAAGTTTCTAGTTTACTCAATCAATTTTTCTATCGTATTCTCTTTAACCAAAAATGAAAATTTGAATCTTTAGATGAAAAATTTGCAGGAAAAATTTGAATTCTGAAGACTCACTCAGCTAGCTACAAATGACACCTTCCTTTCTTCTGATTTCTTTTCGTTTTATTCTTTCTAGCCTTTTTTTCTTTGAATAAGTCTGGTTTTAACTTATAAAGTTCATTTTCCCTGTGTAATCATTATGTTTAAATTTTCAATTCGTTTTATGTTTAGCTGTTTGGAAGAGTTAAGTTAGACCGGAAAACACAACTGAATGATTTCAACAATTTCACCTCCTTTTCGAAGGCTTTGCAAGTCCTCTTCAGGTAATTAACAAACAAAAATTTATTGTTTGATGGAAAAGAACATTTATCTCTCTTAGGCTAGGCATTGATGATTACCACGAGCGATCTGATAAATTGTTTTGAATCTTAGTCTTCTGTCGTTGGTTTTTCGAAGTATGAATTTGTGAAGTAAAAACTTCTGTTTGAAACTTATTGTATTGTATCAATTGGTCATATTTTATTTTGAATCACCTTTAAGTTAAAACTTCTAAAAATCTCTTAGAGAAATAGAAAACAATAAAATAATATTTGTTTACCATGCATCACCTTTCGGACACTCAGATCTTCCCTTTCCAGAGGGTTGAGATGCTGCTATGCTTAGAAATTATTGGAACATTGTAGCCTAATGGCTGATTAAGATCACTTAATAATTGCTCTAGCTGGTACCATGTAAACAACTCTTTTAGACTGGTACCATTATAAGTGTAAGCGTGCAGGTAGCTTTGTATTGCTAATTTTCTATTTGTAATTTTTTCACTTGGCCTCTTGAAACCAAGTGATATCACTGGCAAGGTGACCATGTAAAAAATGCTGAAAATGAAATGAAACTGCATTTCTGAGTTTAAAACATGGCACCCAAACACAACCTTTATATTAGATCAAATGTTGCTCCTTGCTTGTGTAAATGAAATGTTTCCTTACAGTTTTTTAAGCCATTAAGCTTTTTTCCAAAAAGGGTTTGGTTTGCCCATGTTATCCTCTTTGGCTTCAACTAGGCCCCGTCGTTACTGCGTAGCAGCTTACCTCTTTGCTGTTAGCAAACATTGCTTATTTATATTAATACCCTCCTCCACAGGTGTGCAACGGGTGAAGCTTGGCACATGGTGATGCTTGCATGTTCCAGTCATGCTGTTTGTTATGATGACGAGAGCAAAATATGTGGATCGACAATAGCAGCGAGCATCTATTTCTGTTCCTTCTATTTCTTCTGCTCCTTTTTGGTATGTTTCTTTTTAAGAGATTTCATCGTGTCAGTTCAGAGCCTTTAGCTGTAAGTGAAATACAGTGAGATCTTACAGCAAGCTGAAGCTTTTCGTCTGACATCCTTCATACTATAAAACGTCAGAATAAGGCCCGAAAAGATCAAGAAGGAAAATATACACCAAGTTGTGGATCGAAATAGGCGTGATCGAAATAGTTATTTGTAAAACACAATGATGTTTGTGTATTGCAGACACCTGTGGCCTTAATGGAACCGTCGGTTTTCTGGTGGTTTGTGAACAAGGCCTTTTCAGTAGAAAATGAATTTCGGGATAGAACTATTTGTCCGTTGCTTTGAAACGTCTGTCTGTTTTTAGTAGCCTTGAATGAAAAGGAATTTCTGTAACGTTTAAGGGATTTTCTGTAATGGTTTATGCTTTGAAAAATCCATTTTTCAGCCACCCCCTACTCTACTACCCTCTACCCCCTTCCCCTCTACACCCTACTTCCTACCCCTTCCCCTCTACCCTCTACTTCCTACCCCTTACCCCTACCCCCATCTCCTTTTCTTGACCCTTTCATCCAGGCTGCTGAACAATTTAATGCGGTTGAAATTGTATGCAAAAGTTCCTGTGGTGCTTAATAATATTCTAATAATTCTTCATGATATTCTAAAAAGGCTATGTATTCAAGTTTCGATGGTAGGTTACAAATATATTTTGTAGTTATGCGAGACTCTTGAAATTGTTTTTAGGATACTTTACAATGGTTTATCCATACATTTACTAATGATAAACTCAATTTTAACAGCTTCTGAATCTATTCGTTGCTGTCATTATGGACAATTTCGACTACCTGACTCGGGATAAATCAATTCTCGGTCCGCATCACATGGATGAGTTCGTCCGGGTTTGGTCTGAATATGATCCTTCCGCTTCGTAAGTACGGTTTAGCAGTTCACAAATGAAATAGCTTTCGGAAAAGAAGTGTTCATCTTGCAATATCAAGTTTTTTAAAAATAAAAAAACCAAATTGGATTCCATATTCAAAATTTAGGGTTTTGTATTGTTTGGTATAAAGCTGCTTTAGATTCTTTTCTTTTTTGCTAAAGTATGGAAATTGTCAACCAAAGAAGGGACCAGATGTCCTTTCCTGCTTTGGATGGCACACTAGAATGTATCAAACTTTTGTGTTTTAACTTTTTATTATTGATAGAAAAAAATAACAGGTTAAACCAACTCTATGTTTATGTTCATTTTTTTAAACCCAAGCGAAATTGGAAAAATTAAAGATAAATTGTCTATGAACATAAATAATGGTTTTGAACAATGTCGTTTCATCTCAATAGCCGCTATTTCCTAAAAACACTTTTTATGATAGAAGAGGTTTCCGGAACGAAACAGACGTAATCTTTTGAATCCACCGGAAGAATTTTTATTTCAAGCTAAAGGTTTATTTTAGCAAGAAACAAACCATAGTTTAAACACAGGCTGTTGAAAACAAACGATTGTAGAAAGTCTTACCTAGTGCTTTCGACCCGATGTTACGCTTTTGGTTTGAGACTTAATGGCAAAATTGTTATGAGAACTCTTTTGGTAAACTGATACGTTTATAAGTATATAGCTGTTAGATCTTTGTTTACATCAAATTTCAGAGGCAGAATTCCACATACTGAGGTGTACTATCTTATGTGCGATATGCAGCCTCCTGTTGGCTTTGGAAGAAAATGTCCGAAGTTCCTTGCATACAAGGTCAGTTGCTCATTGATCATTTTCCATAGTAGTGCCTTTCATTTGCAGTGGTTTTGTCCCTTTTTAGCGTATCTCGGAGCAGCATATCTTACATGTGACCCAATGCGAAGAGATCTGAAGTTCGTAGTCTAATATTACTTTTTCAATGTTTTTGTAAGCAAAATTGATTGATTTTATTAAAATTTCAGCGTTTGATGAGAATGAACATGCCAGTCAGCGGCGATAACACAGTTTTGTTCAGAACAACATTATTTGCACTGGTTAGAACCTCGATGAATATGACACCGAAAGACAAGGGCTGCTTCAGAGATAATAACTTTCGACGTATCATACGCAAGCTTTGGCCCAATACAACACAAAGGATGCTGGATGTCATACTTCCAGAGCAGTCAGGTTTGAACTAGATGTGCTTCTTGAGATGTTCCAATGCTTATTACTACTGTATATGCAAAATTTATAGAAAATTGAAGATATGTAAGATAGATAACTATGTAATGTGGCTGTAACCGAGTGCTGAAGTGAAGACTGAACCGTATTTTTAATAGTGGATGTCTAGCCACAAAATATAAAGGCATCCCTGTTATAAACGCTTCCTTGGGCATTTTTATAAAAATATAATTGTTTCGTCAAAGAAAAGTTGGCGAGTTACAGAGTACTGTCGACGCCCATGCATCATAAATTTTATCTATGACAATTTATTCTTCTGATATATGATTAATTAATAAAATATGATAATTTCTACATATTATTCTAGTGCTAAGCTCGCAACAAATAACGATTGGAAAAATTTATGCAGCGAAACTGATATACGAAAGTTTCAAAGAAATGAAAAGACGACGAGGCAGCAGTACCTCTACTGAAACCGTAAGAGCAGCATCTTATTTGATTATATGTAGATGTTGCGTATTGATAAAATTTAGAATTGACAAAGACGTAGGAACCGCGGGCACATTGGGCTTGTGCCGAGGGAAAGTCCCCTTTTCAAGCTGAAAGATATTGCTTTTTACAAATGCCCCCTGCCCACTTTTCTGCTCCCTACGTCTTTGATTATAATAAAATGTTAAGGCATGCTAAACCCCCGATTTCTGCCGGGTTGTTAATGAAATTTTCCTCCTTCGCATGAAGAACGTCAGCATAAGAGGTTGTTGAGAAATGTTAGTACACATTGCTTACACTTGTTAGTTTTTATTAGCGTCTATCTGAAAGATGTTATTAGAGGCGTCTATCTGAAAGATGTTCTCGGAGACGTACTGTATTTTATAAAGGGGAATTTAAACGTTGAGCCAATCTCAGCTTTTATGCTCTTCTACTCTTTCAGTAGGTAATGAATATTCAATTTGCAAATACCCACTCAAATCAATGAGCTGCTTACAAAATGACGTGTTAACAAGATTGGGTGATATATTCAAATAGATTAAGAACTCAATATATTGAATGAAGGTAGTAAAATCATTGGATTTATACAAAACATTTGCCGTATCAAATGCACATGCTACCACTGTTTTAAAATGTAAGGTTGTGACAACCTTCCGGTGTCAGTGCGTATAACTTTGTAAAAGTTGGAATTTGTTTTTGGAAGGAGTCTAATGTGTACTGTTTTTGTTACAGGCTCATGAAGGGAACTCGCAGAAGGTACAGTTTTTATTTATAAAATTCTTAAAAGAAAATGAATTTTCTCTCAACTCTAAGTTTCAGAAAGTCGGCATTTTTAGTTAAAACCATTTTGTTTTTTATCAAAATGAAAAGCATGTTGTATTACTGAACATGGTCATATAGGTGTCGCTCTCTCATTCCCTTTAATACTTCTTGCAGAGAGGAACGTCGATCCTTCGGAAGATGATTGGTGTTTTCAGAACATCTTCTCACCCTCTTCGTCTCAATGCGGATGGGCAGAAGAAACCCGAGCAGAGTTATCTTGCTCAAAGGCGAAGATCAAAGAGTTTTGATGCATTCCCTATTTTCACAGGGTAAGTTAAAGAAGTAACGGAATAACAACGCCCTACCACACATTGCAAAAGCAGATACTTTCACGAATTTTAAGGCTGTCTACTAGATATGCCCGATTAAATAGGGCAAGTTAGGTCGAATGAGGTCTGTTTGCACTCTATGACCCCCACTCCCTACTTCCCTTGTCTTCAGTAGCGTAGCGAGGGGGGCTGCGCCCCCCCCATGCTTAGAAAGATGGTGTCTGAGACAAGTGCCAATTTGAAATGAAATTTTGAAATGAAACAACGTTTTAAAGACCACAAGCAAACGACTGTAAGAAATATTCTGAGATTTTAAGCAAATCGCTTGGCTCGCAGGGGACCCTCGTCTGTACCTCTACTGAATGGTTTACAATATCCCCTCATTTTAGGGTTTTTATAGAAAAGTCCGTTGCGTTCTTTAGAAATTCCCGATCAAATATGAATTAGGATTTTAAATCTTGTCCGGGATTTTGCAGATTTTTCTCCAAGGATAACGGACTTGGTTTGAAACTTCCGAATACTGCTTATAATTGTTAGATATTTGCTTACATCTTTGGAAAATCAGTTTTTTCACGCAGCGCTTCCTCGCCTTCACAATTCAGAATATAAACTTGGAGGAAATGTGGAAAAATAGACAGTTGTAGAATGCGGGTCAGCCACAAAAAAGCTACATATGACGGTTATTGTATTTGATTAGCTATCCATTGTCACGTAAAAAAGCCATAGCTTTTCCGAACGCATTTACAAAATGGGGCGTTTTCCCAAATTCTTAAAGGTATGATCAGCAAAAGTTTTCCCAGGGTAAAGCCCCGGATCCTCTGCTGTTGGACTCCTCGTTGCCCCTCCAATCTCCCAACCCTAGCTACTCCACCGCTTATTTTGATCCAAGGTAGTTCTGGCCCCCTGCTTTGCTTACTTTCTGCCAACTTCCCCCCCCCCCTATTTACGCTTTTTGATATCACAGACACAAGTATGAAGCTTTAATAATTTTCCCAACAGTCTTGAAGATGCTCATAAAACGCCACCAACAGACGCACGTGTAAAAAGAACGCAATGGCGATCGAGGTCGCTAAGACTCGGAACTTTAACTGATCCGGAAGACAGCTTTGATTTTGATGAAGATGAAATGAGACAGTCTAGCATTTCGAGAGTAAGACATTTGTGTTTTTACCTTGTATATAGTCTAATAACCCTTTCTGTCTTTACTTTAAAACGGTAATTGTTCTTATTAAACGGTAATTTTAAAACCCTTACTATGTAATTTGTTTTGTTGTAAAGTATTGCCATCATTTCAGCCAGAGGCATTTTTTACCTCTCCCCCCTCCCTATAAATTTTGATGTAACTTCTTACACTAGTTTATTGCCTTGAATTTTCATGTGTTTGCAATTAGCAACAATCGAACGAAGGGATTCAATGACTAGATTTGTGTGAATACTTTTTAAGGCCTCTAAATGTACAACCGAATGAAAATGTCGGAGTGGTCCAACTTGCAGCCAACAAATCTATCTGTTGTTCTAGGCCACAGGAATGACTGATATTTCACCTAGGGGAGAAAGTCCTCCCACAAGGATTGACCTTGTTGAAGAGAAAAATTCAACTCGAATAACGGACAGTTTGATAACAGCTTTGCGGGATCCTTCCAAGCCAATATTATGCTTTGTCAACTCACATCTCCCCCAAGAGGTAAGTATATTATATTATATTGTATTGTCTTTTAATATTATATCATATTATATTGTGTTGTGTTTTATTATATTATATTATATTATATTATATTATATTATATTATATTATATTATATTATAATATATTAGATAATAAGTTATATTAATTATTATATTATTTATTATATTATATTATATTATAGTAATTATATATATTATATATATTATATTATATTATATTATATTATATTATATTATATTATATTATTCTATACGTATGCTGTACTGTACCATTCTATACTATACTTTACTATACCATTCTATACTATACTATACTATACTATACTATACTATACTATACTATACTATACTATACTATACTATACTATACTATTCTATACTATACTATTCTATGCTATTCTTTACTATTCTATACTACTCTATACTTTACTTTACTATACTATACTATACTATACTTTACTATACTATACTATACTATACTATACTATACTATACTATACTATACTATACTATACTATACTATACTATACTATACTATACTATACTATACTATACTATACTATACTATACTATACCATACTATACTATACTATACTATACTATACTATACTATACTATACTATACTATACTATACTATACTATACTATACTATACTATACTATACTATACTATACTATACTATACTATACTATACTATACTAAATCATGTAAATTTATTTGCACCGTAGAGGTTGGAGGAGAGAGGGGATGTTCACGCGAGGCATCGTCCAGTTAGACCACGTGCTTCGACTTTGACTGTCTCTTTGCCAATGATTAAGTTGGAAATTCCTGTCGAACATGACGAAGACATTATGAACATGTCTATAAGCAGGGAGGACGTTGAGCAATTTCTTCCGCAAGCAGCGAATGATTCTATTCCGGACTTGATTCTCTCTGCCACCGGTATACAACGACCAAGAACGTATTCTGGGCAATCATTAGGTAAAGAGTCGGTTTCTTCCATGAGCAATCCGTCCGGAGAATGCTCATCAATGGCTGAAAATTCTAACAATGAATTCCAGCGTGGAACGACTGAGGTTACTGTACATAGGAATGATTTTAACGTTCCTAAATCGGAACCATGTGAAAAGTCCGAGATAGCAAAGAAAAGAGACTCTCTAAGACGCAGTAAGCAGCTTCACGCTGCGATATCAGATGACAGTCCGATACATCCAAAGCGGCGACGCGCGTTTGAGCGGGAAGCGGAGCTTGCGGAAAGCAGCCTAGAAGATTTACAATTGCTATCAATGGAAGAGAAACAGTGTGCAGATGAGAGTGTAGGGAAAAATCGTGATAATTTGAGTAGTTTTATAATAGCCAACACTGATGCAGCAGAACCGACATTTCACAACGATAATACTTCTTTAAGTGACAATAATACAATTGAGTTGCAGTTTCTTAGAACTTTGCAAAGCGAAATAAACCGCGCGGCACAAGCACCTCGCAGGGTATTAGACTTTGATCCAAAAGCTAATGATGATGAAACATGGTGTTAAAACATCCTTCGTGGTCAGCTTTCATAGTCCAGTCGTTTCAGAAAATTGTTATGGACGTTAAAGAAGTTCAATTTTTAATGGAATAATTACAGTGACATCTTTAATAACAATGTTTATACTCTTGGTTTTAGCATAAATTATTGTAAATAGAATTCTTTGATAATTAGTTGACAGAGAATTGTTTCATGGGTATTTGTTAACACATTGTGATGAGCAGATGACGTCATGTTTGGTATTCAATTCCCGTTGCAGACTTAGTTAACATAACACCAAGATTGTCAGGTAATTTACAGTTTTCAACATCACAGCCAAGACTTTAGATGACGTCATTTGAACCAAACATGTAGCCACATCCAAACTGCCCTTTTTTTGTTCCCTTTGAATGGCTATAGTAATTTTGTGTAAGACACCATTCAATTCTTTCAGACATATGTGCAATGAGAAATTGCTTGTTGCTAAAGTAATGATGTTGATACCACTTACCCTCTCTTGTTAGTAAGAAAAATATTTTTGATGTTATTGGCAGATCAGGTAATCTTTTTTCAATGCCAGCAAACAGAGATAATAAGGCAGTTTTTAAAATACAAATATGATTAAACTGACACTTTTAGTGATCCTTGCCCCTATAATCCAGGTTTCTTGTTCCTCTCCACTTCTCTGTTTTACGACCAGTTTTTTGTAAGTTTCAATTTTTTGTATGAGTTGATGTAAAATTATACCCATAGAAATTTAAATGGATTAGGGGTGGGGCCAGGCAGTTGCATGGCGAACAAATTATGATGACCACACCCACCCCTCCATTGAATCAGCAAGCTATGAGGGGTGCATGTTGCCTTCCCCATAACCCAACCTCTATGGGCCTATTTGATACGTAGCAGAGCGACCATGTTATAATTGTAATTGAGAATTTTATCGATCTAAGATTCATATACATATAGTATACATATTTATTCGTGACGTTTTGTAATCAAATCTTACGCAATTAAAACTTTTCTTTAAAGACAATATGGGAAGATTTTTAGAACCTGACAAAGCATTAAGAAATGGTTTTTTTTTCTTTCTTCGTTTAAAACCTTTGCCAATTAACAGCACTCAAACCGCAAGTCTGGTGGCGGATTTCCTTTGTAGCGGTGAATAGCTTACCAGTGCTTGGCCCTGAGGTCAACAAATTGACGCATGGCTTTTTTAAGTGAAATTTTGAGCTACAGAAACAAAAACAATGTTAAAAGTGAAAATAAACTTTCAAATGTATGCCAATTCAAAATTCTATAATGTAACTATATTGGCTGAAATGGAAAAAAAATCAACCCCCCCCCCCCAGTCTAGCTAATTGTCGAGCATATAAAGTTTCTTGCCATTGTAAACATTTGGAAATTCTGTGGGCTACCCAGAAGAAGCTCGCTGCTCAAAGCATGAATTAGCAAATTGTTCAAAATCTTCTTACTTTTGAGATCTGCATGCAATTTGTTTCCTTCTTGGTTATGTTCCTATCCAGTTAAGAAGCAATTATATATGATAATCTACATTGATTAGCTACATAGGAACGAAAAAGTTTTCTTTCCTAGAAAAGTGAGACGTCTTTGTAGAATATGAGGAACTAACTAAATATATACGCAACATTCGATTTTTATTGCAATCATGATGTGATTTTGAATATGTGAAAATTAGTTACATACTTACAACAAAAGATGATAATTTGGTTACAATTAACAATGAAATAATTTGCTTTACATTTTCAATTATCAATATTGTTTTACATTTGTAGAATATGACACATACGCCCTTGACAGCATATTTTGAGAGCAATGGACCTTGTTTATCCCAACACACCAAGCTAACATCACAAAGGTAAAAATCACTGCTCCTCTTTGTGAATAATTTGTTTTGATCGACGTATACTGCATTTTCATATATCATAACATACATAAGCAACTGACACACGTGTGATTATTGCCATTATCTATAATACAACTCAAAATTGATCTTAAAATTCATATAGTCTATTTTTCTATGTGATCTCCATATCATAAACTACATTATAACTATTTACATATTATATGCATTATCACATCATTATAGAATATAATTAAAATTAGCTGGAAAACAGAGTTAATTTTAAGGGATTTTTATCACTGCACATATTCAAAACTTTTGAAATCTTGGGTGTCACCTTTTGAAAATTTCATGATCACACCCATCAAACCAACCTGATTGTGATCACTGTTACTGTTACGTTTTCGTTTTTAATATTGTAATGCTCTTTTATAAACTTTATGTATCTACTGGCAGATGCTTCAGTTTTTCTTTTTCAATTGTAAATCTCTCTATTTTAGCTTTATCATTGCACAAATTTTAAGTTTAACACTGTACAATAACGATATACCACTGCACAAATTGGTTATCACTGCACGTTAAAATAAACCCTGCTGGAAAGCCGAACTTTTATGTAGATGTTGAATTTGTATATTAAGAAGAATAAGCACTACATTAACCTATGCAGATTTGGATGTTGAAAAGTTTTCTATTTAGTTTGAAAACAAAGTCTTGGTTTTGAGGTTGCTTTAAGACTTTTGTATTCCAGAGAGTTCCTCTGGACTTTTGTATTTGTGATTCCAGTTTATAGTAGAATCCCGTTATAACGTACTCGGTTATTACGTACTTCCCGATATAACGTACTGGTGTGTTTGGTCCCGGCAAAAGGAGTGTTTTGTTTGAGTCAATTTTTACTTTCCCTGGTAACAACGTACTTCAGATATAACGAACTTAATACGCCGGTCCCTTAAAGAACGTTATAACCGGATTATACTGTAATTTTCTTCAGAATCTATTTTTATTCTAATTCTAGATTACAACGTGTGAAATCTTTACGGCTTTTTCTGGACGTCGAAAATCTATCCCTCTGAAAGATAAACACTTTAGATGAGAATTATGAGATTACTTAATTAAGTCTATTGCGAACAACAATCTAACTCAAATGCCCGGAAGGAACGCACACTATTTTGGCTGTCATTACTTTAAGCTTGTTTACCACCTTAACTTGCCACCTTAACTGTCTCAGTTTGAAGAATGTAGAACAAAAAAGTTCAGAGATCTTCAAATTATATTTCCAATTCAAGAGCAGCTGGTAATTTTCTTATCTTCAGCACTGGAATCGCTTCCTTTTGTAACGTTATCAACCAGGAACAAGAGAGTTGTTTTAAGTCATGAAAAGGAAAATTTAACAATGGAAAGCATTTCAAGCAATTTTTCCTATTTACCTCTTTCCGTGCAATTTCATTGATCACCTAACAATTCTGCCTACCAACTCATGAAAATCTGTAGGGGGGAGGGGGTTACACCACTACTTGTTACCTGTAAGGTTTGAAAATCTGTAGGTGGAGGGGGAAACACCAGTAAAAATTGAAAATCTCTAATGGGAGGGGATAACACCATTGCTTGTTACCATAAAATTTAAACGTACAAAACCTTTGTTGTATGTTTGTGTTAGCAAGTTATATGATGACGTTTTCCATTATTTCGTGTTGGTAAAAGCAAGTAAAAGGTGATTTTTACTTCCAGGGAACATTTCCTTTCAACGTTGCTAGCAAAAACCTTCAGAAGCATGTCCTTCGATACATGGTTTCTCTGAAAACCCACTTTATCTATTAATAGTGTTTAACGTGACTGGATAGCATAGGTTTAAAACTCCACAGAGTTATTTGCAAACTAGCAACAAAAATTTTACAATTCTAGCGATATTTTCAGACAACAATTCATCCTTTACAAATGAGTATCAGCAACAGGTGAAGCTGAAAATATGATCTTGTCAGCTTGGATTGGAAATGGAGCCCCTGAAGACCCAGAGCTGCTGCACGTATCCGAGCTTCGCTTTTTCTCGTCACAATAGGCTGGTACTTTCCTTTCGCAATTTCGCTTAGAAAAACCTCGAAACATTGCGTTGATCTCCTTGCGAATACCTTTGTGCCGAAACGCATAAATGAGGGGATTAGCAAAACTGTTGCAGTAGAGTAGAGTATTTGCGATGTCCTCTAGCGAAAAGGGAAAGCTTTCGAATCCTTCTGGCGCGTTAAGCATCAACGGCTTAATAATCAGCTGTGGCAAATACATCACCACAAGTGTAACAGCGATCATTGCAAAGGATTTCGTCAAGCGCTTCTCGCGACATGATGCGGAAGAATCGGCAACGGAAACACTGATTCGCGTAGTTTCACCTTCTTGTACGACGTTTGACTTGCTTCGGGATGTGGAAAGATTGCTTCGTTGTCCCAGATTGACGAACATGTAGATAACAGCAATATAGGAAATGAATGTCGCGGCAAGTGAAAGGACGATCACACCGGACACGGTGTAAACAAACAGTGGCACGGTCGCTGAAGAGATGAATCTCAAAATCGGTATCAGCAAGCAGAAGAGCGACGAGAAAACTACCGCAGATACAATGCGGTTGCGGTATTTATTCGCTTTGTACATGATAGGGCGAGCGATAGCGAGAAAGCGGTCGATGCTCATGATGGAAACTAGCATTAACGAAGCACCGCATAAGGTGTAGGACGAATAATTTAGAATGAGCAGCAACCAGAAATCAGCACCGCTCACGTTGTTGTTGGTGTAGTTTCGTCCTTGCTTCAGGAGAAAGTAGCCGTACAGGCTCTGTGATATGCAGCCACTTAAGAGGTCTGTTGTTGCTAGGGAAGCCATGAGAATGTTTGGCACTTTCCACATGCGTGCTTTTGCCAGTTTTGCCAATGCGATAAGAACTATGACGTTTTCAGGGATAGTCATCGCGGCAAACACGATATTCACTGCGGCAAGTCCATAACAGAGTGAGCCACTACAGTGTGTTAGCGACCCAGCATCCATCGTCAAAACTATGTCTCTTTTCTCTGTTTGGCTAGCTAGTTGTGATGAAACTTGCTCGATAGAGAAGATTAGAATTCAACATTCACAATAGAAAGTCAATTCTTTTGCATTTTTCATAAACGTGAGTATTTTTCGCTGACTATCAATTCTCTTCTTCTTGGGTTGTTAAACCTCTGCAGGCTGGTGTAACAGTGTTTTCTGGTCAGGTTCCCAGATAAAACATTTATCCAGAATTTTGCAACGTATGGTTACAGATGTCCTCTTTGTTTTCGTCAACTGTTAGTTTGGTTGTAAAATTTTGCTTTAACTGCGTAATTTTTTTGATCCTTGATTTGCAAAGAACTCCTCTTTGACGCTTTCCAGGTTTCTTAACTTTTCTTGCTGTTATCACAATATCCAAAGAAGGATTTCTAGAAATCGTTTTTGTACGATGTTCCCGTTTCAAAAACTGTTATGAAAATTCACTTCTCTGAATGTTTTAAACACATAACTGACGTATTTCTCAAATAAAGATCAACTTCTGATGAATATATAACCTTGCCTTCTCTTATCTCAGACCCGAAACTCTCCAAATACTTCCTTTACTCTCACACCAGAGCTCCGCGTGCTTCATTCACAACTCCTAGACGACAATGAAGCTTTCTAGCGCCAACGCACAATAATATACTACCAACATCAAAAGGCGTGTCTTAATACCGATAAACCACCAGATGGCCGGTCTCCATCTAAACCATGTGTTGTTTTCATGCGTAGAACAAACTGTTTTTTTGCGCTAAGTGCGTTTGGGGCGTTCTTGGCTCTTTCGTTTTTCAACAAACAGTATTTTACAAGCATTTTTTACCGCGATTGTTTATCTAGACCTACCATAGTGGCAACCGAAGTCTAAATTTTGGTTTCCCAATTCTACTAAAACCATTCCGCTTAAGAATCATACAATATATTTTTAACCGAACCATTGCCTCGAACAAGACAACGGTATTGTCCCTCAGTGGATCAAAAATTCCTTTTGTCATTGCTCCACATTTTCAACAAGCGAGTGTTACCTGATCTGGTCGAAGAAGACACTTCCTGTTCTACCTTATTCAATCCTTAAACAGCCCTGTAGGGTAGCGAGCACTTTGCAATAGACTGATAATCTGTGATCTTAATTATCTTTATCTTTTTCGAGTGACATAATCTTTTAATATTAATTATTTTTTACCTAAATATGAATATTAAAGACGAGTAAAATATTTCATTCTCCAAATTTGCCAATGATGGTTGATTTAGATTTTTGAAGAAGTGACCAAACAGCTCTTTCACTAAATAACTGCTTAAATTCATGAACAATATCTTTAGTTCCTTCATTTTACATTTTTAACCTTTCTCTGGAGATTCAGCATCACCGGCTTTGATGCCCCAATAAATGCCAATTTTCGATTTCAATCTTTTTGTAGCGTTTGTTATGGAAGTCTTATGAAGAAAGCACACTACGTTTCGTTTTGACCAAGAAAATAACAATACTTAGAAGGACGTGTTCTATATTTAACAAAGGTATTTTCATACATATTTTCTAAATTATCGAGTAAACTGTTTATCCTGCTTTTTCAACATCAAGATACCATCACAATCGCACCGCATATTGTTTTCCATCTGGCTAAATTCTCAAGTCTTACTTAATCTTAAACATGTGTTCCTGCCATCTTGATTGCCTTTGATCCATTTGGTATCAACATCCAACAATGATGTACATGGCCTATTCTAAAGGAAGTTAGCTGCGGGGGCAACCCTTTGTTTATAGAAAGAGGAGGACAATAGCCTATTGTTTAAAACAATGAAAAGTCACTTGGGCTGGAAGGGCAATTGCCCCCCTAGTTAGTATGTTAAAAAAGACACTAATGATGCACGGCCAGATTGACACATTTTCAACTGTAATGCAGTGGAATGTATTAAGTGGAAAAAAGTTTGGTACTACGCCTAGACTCTAGAAGCAAAAACTGTTCTATAAAATTGATCAAAATGCATAAGGTAGAGGTGGTGATGTTTTTATGATTTGACTAAGAAAAAAGCACCTGGCATGAAGCACCCTCATACTCTGCATTTGCTGGCAAAGCAACTTCATCTTCAAGTTCAATATTTTTCGTAAATTTCGATTATGAAAAGGATAGCATTTTTCTTATTTTGAAATATATCATGAAAAATATTTTACAATATTGCAATAACAGTAAAGACACTTATATACAAGGACTATGCAAAATGTTCTTGTAAAGATCGATTTAATCGTGGAATCAAGCATTAAAATTGGCCTTTGTAGAGAAATCGTTTCATAGAAAAGATATACCACAAGCCGTCTGTTTTTCGTCTGTTTTGCCCATTGTCGTTGAGACTAGCTGCGGTCCTCCATAATAAAAAAACTTGCAATTCCTGTGGATGGTTTGATTTATAAAATTTAATTGCCTCCACATATGCATAACAAAACAAGTATCTCAGTTGCAAACATCCCCATCCCATTTTGTCAGACAAAATTCTCTTTTCTTTGCAACTCATTTTTAATAGCTAATCTTGTTTTGTAAACAAGAAAATTTAACAAGTGTAATAATTTTAGATGAAGCGTTGGGCTTGCCTCGTGCCATGTGCTAGCACAAAGAATTTCATTTTGTTTTTATTTTCAACACAAAGATGTATAAGCTTTTCAGAATTACGAAAGATCTGTTCGGTTTTCCAATTTACTCAGCATTGCTGTTAGAATACAGCAGAATCAAAACTGTGGGGCTAATTTGATGACAGCCTAAAATGGTTGCCCACTCGATTATTCCATAGGCTAGTATATATTTTTTAAATGTACAGATAATCCTGAAGATTAGAAATAACTCTTCAAGCATAAAAAATAGCGCCAACTGCGCTCAATTTCCACGACAGGAGGGTAGTTAGAGAAAAATTTATTTACTTTGCTGGCGTCACCTGTTTAGAATCGGTGGTGCAGTCGCTGTGTAAGATATAGAAAGGCGTTAAGAGTGTGAGACTTTTCATTTTTCTTTCGAAGCTTTGGCACTAGAAGTAAGCCTAAGTTAACTGTAAAGATGCCCCCCCCCCGGAAGATACACTTTATGCACTGAAACAACCAAAGGGCAAGGAGGTAGGCTTCAGTAAAAGGGCATTTCCAAGCTTCTAATAATTTTTTTGTTAATGTCTTTGTTTTTCGATGTTCTGTAGGCATCTTGCAATGGTCTAACTGCTTTCATAAGAAATTCTTATACAACTTTTGAAAAATTTTGTCATGAAAAGGCACTACAGTCATGATTTCATGTGAATCTCTTTAATAGTTACAAAAGAGGAAAAAAAGCACATTTCTAAGAAGGGCACTGTGGCCCCACTTGCCCCTTCTATCAAGGAGCAAGAGGGGTGGTCTCCCCTTCACCCTCTCTCCGGCGTCCTTAAGATGATCTCTAGTTTATAATATTATAACCAAAGTAAACGTCCTTGTATTCTTTAACTTGATAGGGTCGGTTGATTTCCAAAATCAATATCCACGTGTTGGCAAATTATTCAACGCTCTGCTGCTTAGCAAGAGATCTAATCTACTCTCTATTTAAGGTAAGCAGCCTTTTCTCGATTTAGAATTTTTATTCTCGCTGTAGCTTTAAGAATTTTTCTTCGTGAAATTTCTATAAAATCCATTTTAACGCCATCTTTCGACGCCATAAACATTGTTAAACAGCAAAAAACACCATGACATGTGATTTCAAAAAACCACTTTTCAGCTTCCAAGCAATTATTTCTGAAAACATCCAACTGTCTGAACGCCAAAGTGATGATAAGTGATCTAAAAAGCAGATGGAAAATTGTCATTGGATGAATCATTGCTCATCAGAACTGTGCTTGCTCAGAAATAGTACAAATTAATGCAGGTTTGGGCAGCTGAAAGATCGAATCGAAGATCTAAGAGAAATCAATTAATAGCTTTGTGCCAAGTAAAACTGTTTAACATTGTTTGTGCGATTCAGTTGCCTTGTGCATAATGTCTTTGAGAAGAATTTATTTGGTTTGTGATGTCATTATTTGACTAACGTGTTAAGCCCATTCGCTGAACATAATTTTCTCAGAAGTCAGTGCGTTAGAAGGGGCAGTTATGGCTGATAAAATGCTTCAAATCTAGCTGTAGAGCTTTTCACAATTGTATTGTGAAACGAATTTAAGCTTTAAAAGCCTTTTTCCGAATAGCAATGAATAATGTTGGGTTGTGTGTGCTACTGTGACAGTCATGTTTTCTGGACTCTGAGAAAAGCTACCAAATATTCAATGAATACCTGGAATTGAATTCATTATGTTCAACAGATTGACTTATAAAGTTTTGTTTCTTATAATTATTTTTTCGATTGGATCGATTATCTGTTATTCATACTCGTTTTACGTGGCGTATCACATATCGAAACAAGATTTCCATCGCATATAGTGCGGGATATCAAGCTTACTCTGATGATATCATGTAATCTTTTGCGCAGGTGTTCGTCTGTATGTACGAATTCATTTGTTATTTCCAATCATCAGTAATAAGCTATTCACAGACCCAGGATGCGAGTGCAAAAGCATGTAGCACTCCACTGTAAATATTTTGTTTTCTGTAGTCAAAGTGGTTAGGTCCCAAAGTTGAATTTCAACGTTCTAAGACTACATATTATTCATGTCGAATTTTGTCTTTCAATGAAAAATTTATGTTTACAACAAATTTTCTTATTTGCAGTTGCGCTAAATTATCATCAAAAGATGCCCGCAAGAAAGTGCTAGTTTTGTTAAGCTACAAACTCATTGAAGATCATCATAGCAACAAAACTGTTGCAAGGCTTTGCAAAAGATGCGAGAATATCAATGCAATTGCATTCACTGTCATTAAGCGTTGATCAACATTTTTGATAAGGTTTTCCGACAAGCGATGAAATGACCTGAAATATCAGACTGACTCCTTTGTCTTCAGCAAAGATGTTTTTGAAGAAATTCAGTCTTATTGTTGCTGGTTAAGCCGCCAGTCTTCATCATTTCTGAAACGATTAACTGAATTTGAAGTCTGTGTGTTATGCAAAAAAGTTTTGAAGCTTACTGCTTTACACGCTTTCATTAAACCTTGCTTTTTCTCCTCCATCTTATTTTTGTTACTATTTTTAAGCTAAAAAAGTTTCAGTACTAGCTACATTAAAAATTTTATTCTAAGCTTTGCAAGACCTTTCCTATTTCATGTCAAATTTACAATAGATGAAACTATGGACATATTTTTTTATGCTCGTAAAATGGCAAAATACCCAGGAAGTGACATATTATATTAGACACGTTGATACATCAAAGCTTGAAAATATTGTCTCTGATTTTCCTCCCCTCAAAGTCAATTTTTGTTTAAGTTTTTGTCACAAAACTTCAAAGTTACTCGCTATTTTTACTCCTTTAAAATCGACAAACAAGTTTCCTCGCAAACCCTGCTACAATTCTTTGTTCCTATAAGAACACTTTTCTTTTCCTGCCTGTTCTCGACTTTTCTTCAGTAAATTGCTTTTTTACATAAGTTGCCAATTGTTTGGGTAGTAGAGTCCGTGTAGCCCACTTGTTGTGCAATTTCATCATATGAATAACCTGCCTGGCGTAAAAACTTTATGACCATTTGCTTAGCTACATCCATATTTTGTGTTTTTACAAGTTCCCAAAGATAAACATTTTTGCGCTATTGATAAAAATTTTCACAGTTAACTTTCTCCAAACAAAATTTTTGCTTATTTATATATTTATTTTGCTTATTTCCTGACGCCATCGTTTTATTTTTCCGCCAAAATCTGATCTTTCTTTTCCACTAACACGGCATTTGTAAGAATTAGGCCCAAAATTTTGCCCGACCGTTCCAATACTTTTGGGAGGGGAGTTTATGATGATCGATATAGCTTTGTTCCGATATCTGATCATCAATCACAAAATGTATTTTTACAGTTATTATTTCAACTTTCCATGTTCGTTTTAGGCTGGGTTTTTCTGCCAGTTTCAGTCAGTGTCCAAGAGACAAAGAGTTTTAGTTAAACTATAAAGCTGTTCAATTAATCGTCGAATTACATGAGTTTGAGTTTTGTTCCGCGATACATTTTCAGCTTCCATCTTTTATGTTTGACCGCCATTGAGATGTAGCCTCGCTTTCTTATTTATCAATGAGGTGGATTCTTTTCACCTATTCACCTCATTGATTGATTCACGCTTGTCTGTTATCGTTCTGCAAGGGGTCAACTCTCCGTGTTTTGAAAAGGTAATTAAGCATTCTTTTTTTCTGGAAGCTTTGCACAGGTGTGCACAAATGCCACAATAAAGAATTAGCAATGTGCATGCATACTTTTAATAAAGCTGCATCAGTCTTTTCGGTAGTGTAATGTAGGGGGATTTGCTAGGCCATATGTGGGCATAATTCTTGCACGATGTTTACAGGTCAACTAATCACAAAGAATCTTTAATTATCTGAAATCAGCCTTGACATACATGCTAGAATAAAGACTTTCGGTAAGATATTAGCTATGGCAACAGCTGCAGAAATTCTTGTACCCTGATTGCAGAGGTGCAGAGCTGGGTGTCTCATTTAAAAGTTAATGCAAAAATCAAAAGAAACTTTCCAGTTCTATGAAAACCGGGAACCAAAAATAGATGAAAACAGTCTGAATCTTGTAACATTTTGCCAGCCACTAGGCTCTAGGGGGACAAAGCAAAAAATACGCCTTTTTTTCACAAGAAAACGCCCTTTTACCAGCATGAAACAACAATTTTACGGTTGAGGACCAGATTTGACACTGTATTATAGTATATGTAGATATTGTTTTCACAGGTCTTCGGCATATTGTATTGCAATTAACTCCATGATGAAGTGCTGCTGTAAAGGATTTGATATATAGGAAGACTGTAATTAGATTTCCTTGTGTTCTGGCTATTAATCTATTCTGAAGTTGCCATTTGAATGTTATGATGTGTTGACAACCAGAAGTCTAACTTCCAGAGATTTCAATCTAAAATGAAAAACCACACCATTCCTTAGGAATAGAAACATATAAATCTTAAGAATTCAGCAAATCATGTGATCTCAATTAGTTTTGTTTATTAGAATTCCACAGAGAGTATCTTGAAAGATAAACTACGGTTCAACGAACATAACAAAACAACTTATATGATCAGGATATGATACTAGGCCACATTACGTATTCAGCATAAGAGTAGTAAAAACGTGTTCACAGCATGACTAAGCAAGGCTTAACTTAAAGTGTCAATCAATGATACTATGAGTCAAAACATGATAATAGTAAATATCTTGTCATTGTTTTCCTCAATCTAGATGTTTGGCTGTGGAAGAAGAGCCATGTCTCTGCATGCCAAAGCATTTTCTATTCATGAAACCTCTGGTTTAGTGGTAGCAAAATCTCTCAGCACATCATCCTTTTATCATACAAAGAAATTTGATGGAGCCCTTCCTCTCTCTGAGATACCGGGGCCTGTGAGAGTCCCTATTGTTGGAAATATTCTTCAGTTTGAAAAGGCAGGCGGAATTGGCAATTTCCATGAGGCTCTAAATATTATGAGAAAAGAGTATGGCAAGATCTTTCAACTCAAGTTTGGTCCTGAGCGTCTTGTATGCATTTCTGATGTAGATATGATTGAGGATGTGTACAGGAATGAAGGCAAATACCCAGGAAGAGAAAAGTCATTTCCAGCATGGGACAAGTACCACAAGAAGCACAACCTTCCAAAAGGAGTGTTTTTCGAGTAAGTAATTAAATTATTTTGATTTACAGCTAATCATAGAACTTGATTCAATTAAATTTATCCATGTTTAATATGTGACAGGGTTCCCCTATTCCAGTGACTCTGGGCTTTTAATTTTTGGCATAGATAGTACATTTTGGAGTTAGTGCTCATTGTGGCAATGCTTAATTAAGCATTACATTGTGTATATTTCAAGGCAAAAGTAACAAGCATGCAATTGTGCATTGGTCATTGTGGGCTTATTATGTTCGACAAAACACAACTAAATGAAACAAAACAAAATGAAACAAAAAGGGATGTTTAATCAAACAAACAAAACAAGTTCCATAACTCAAAAACCACTTGTGAGAATAGTTTTAAAAGGAAACTTGCCCATCTGAGATTAATTTTGAAAAATTTTGAAAAAGTGATATTTAACGAAACAAACGAAATATCTCAAAAACCGCTGCAAGATTGAAATGAAACCATGAAATTCGTGTCAGGGGCATTGATTTTCACTTGTATGAATGGTTAGGGGCAAGTTTCCTTTAAAAACCATTCTCACAAGTTAAAATAAAAGCCCCCTACATGAATTTCATGGTTTCGATTCGATCTTGCTGTGTAATCTGACCTTGAGGTAATTGTTTGTGGGGATTTACTGTTATCTGAGAGATGTGTTTAGTTTATTTAAATAACCTAGAAGCATGTTCTTCATTTTCAACAGATACAAAATATTAGTTTAACTAACTTTTCAGGGAAGGCGAAGAATGGCTAAGACACAGAAATGCATTGAGCCCTAAGCTCTTAAACATTAAACAAGTTGAGCATTATGCTCCTGATTTTAATAAAGTTATTGATGGACTCATGAGAAAGGTGATGTCAAGTAGAAGCAAAAACATGGAAGTGGAACATATTGAGAAGGAGCTCTTCAAATGGTCAATAGAAAGTAAGACATCTTGAAATTCACAGTCAGTTGATGATGTTCAACTCTCAAAAAATAATCAGAAGGTGACCCAAAAATATCTTAAGCACTGTGAAATAAATGTACTCTGGAATGATTTTGCTCTGTTCAAATCCCTGTGTAATTTGGTGAAGTACTAGTTCACTTCTATTGTTGAATTTTTTTGATTTTAGTGTTCCTCATCCTTAAGTAGTAGCAATCATTTACATTTGTTTTTTTAAAGAAATTTTCAACCTTGTCCTTGTTTAATATTACTATCTTTTCTCTTGGAGTCACAAGGGCAGAATCCATCAATTGAAACCCTTTGATGGACAAAAGTTTTTGTATCTGCTTCACTTAAACACGTGTTGGCTTTTTATGCAGAGAAGGAATATCAAATCCAGGCCTGGCCGTTTGTATTTTTATAGGTGAGCTAAATCAGGAACACATAGAATGTACTTTAAAGACAATCGACAGATGACTTTAGCCCCTTTAGTATCTGTCGGTTGCCTTTAATAGCCTCAATCAGGAGTATGCTGTTTTACTTCTTTCAATTTGTATTTGCTTTAACCGTGACTTAGGCACCCCCTTTACTTGAAGTATTTAAAAGAACAGACTCTTTCAGTTTCATGTAAAGCTGGCACAACACAAAAACAACAATTCTCTTGCCAAACAATATTTTTATTGTACAAAATTTGAAAATGGCTTTGAGAAACAAATTTTGAAACAAACTTAAGTTATTCATCTAGCACTCTTCAGAGTATAAAACATCAGAACATAGATGGAAAACTCTATGCTAAAATACCCAGTTTTTGATCTGCAAGACAGAGTACCCTGTTCTCTTTGAGGAATAGTTTTGTTTCTATTGCTGGAAGGGACCTGCTGTTTTATTATATCTCCCAATCTACAATTCCTACCAATTTCTTTGACTTTCCTTCCAAAAATATGCCTGTTTTCTTAAGATTGAAAGGTTCTAATCGCTACAAACGTACTTTTCGCTTAACTTTTCATACTTTTCCAAAGAGATCGAAGTTCATGCCTATCATAACAAAAACCGCCCAACAAACAAAAAGTTAATTGCAAAAAATTTGATAACGTTGTTACAGAAATAAACCAATTAACCCTTGTACGTTTTCTGGGTTCTCTGAATAGGAAAAGGGCAAATGAATGGAAATTTTAGGGGAGCGATTCTTCCTTCATGTTCTGTTTACGAGAGCAATTCATAGCTCACCTCAGGTTGCGAGGGGAGGGTGGAGGCGAGCGCCGGCCATCGCCCACCTCAGACGGCCAGGCCTGCAAATCATAACCATAGCATTGAAAATGCCTTTAGCTAGGTTCCTCAGCTTGCAAGTGATATTTCAGTGTGTTTAATGAAAGCAGGAGCATGTGCTTTATTAAAAGTATTATTTTTTGTTGCTGATAGCAATTTTTTGTTATTAAGAATTAAGATTCAATTTTTGATTAAATCCCTTTTGAAGGTGTTTGCACTGTGCTTCTGGAAACCCATCTTGGATGTTTTTCCTCGCATCCTGATCCAAAATATGAAGAGTTTATTGCTGCAGTGAATAACTTACTTCAACTGATCTTGGAGTTGATGTTCAATTCTCCAGTAGTAGATAAGATCATAGAGACCAAGCCTATAAAGGAATTCAATGCAGCAATGGATGTCATTTACAAAGTCGCAGAAGACGAAATTGATGAGAAATTGAAGAGATTTAAAGAGCAACATGGAAATAAGATTGATGACGAGACTCCAAAGGAATTCATACCATATTTGTACTATGTTCAGGAAATGAGTTTGGCTGATATAAAGAGTGATATATCCTCACTTATGATGGCTGCTGTGGAGACAGTTAGTAATCAAGCTGTTTCATTTGATAAAATAATAAGTGTATGAATATAAGATTCCTGAGCAAGCTGTATTTGTCAAGACGCTTTGCTTATAAATGTTTGTTCTCAAACATTGTATAAATTTGGTACATTTAAGAGTAAACAGAAAAGATAGTACTTAGCAGTCAAATCCTCCATCATCGTATTTGTGCAAAAGGGCATTGACTTGATGCATTTCTGTTAAAATGATGTACAGTAACTTTGGCCCTAGTGTCGAGTCAGATGGGTCCACCAGTATCCCTTCTACATATGAATTATGTTTGTCGATTGTTGCATAGTTTCAAAATGTTAAGTACATGCAGAGGAAAAAGTTTAAGCTATTTTTTAAACTAAGATTGTTAAGCAGTTTTAGAATTAACTGACTTTGTCTCAAGTATATTTATCTTTACAGATAAAAATCCTATTCAGAATCCAGCTTGAGTGATATTTTTCAATTTAGGAAGTGATATAAATGTCAATGCAACTGTATATATTCAACTTCCCTGCAGACATCAACATCAATGCAAGTTCTGTTATTTAACCTTGCAACTAACCAACAAGCTCAAAGCAAACTGCATGAGGAGATTGCAAACTTCATGGAGCCAGGAGAACCTGCTACAGTTGAAATGCTCAAACGAATGCCTTTTCTGAAAGCAGTAATCAAAGAGTCAATGAGGTAAGCACTATTTCTGCCAGGCATTTATTTATTAATTAATGGACAGCATGTCCTGTGTTTTTTTCCTACTTGCATATTTTTGTGTTTGTCATTAATTCTTTGATATGACCTTGTAAGATTACTTGTTACTGTTTTATCGTAGAGTGCTTGATGCTCTATAGACAACGCTGTACATGCTTTGCATTGCAGAAAAAGACTATTCTAAAACTCTATTTTTGTGACCTGTCTCAGACAAAGTGTAATCAGTCATTTATTTCCAGATACCTTGACTGGATTAGACTCTGTACCTTATAAAAATATCCAACTTTGAAATTATACTCTTTGTGGCCTGAAATTGAAAGGAAACATTAATGCCTTCAAGAATAGTACATTAGTGCAAGAATAAACAAACACTGTAGAATAAACACTTTTATCTTAAAAAAGTTGAGTTTCCAAAACTATAAATGTTTAACTGCTATTTGTTGAAGTAAAGTAAAATTTTGTTAATCAGTCACCTCATAGTATCAAAATTTACTGTTTGATTTAATTTGTTTTTTGTGTAAGATATTTATCCAAACAAAGTGCAGAAACATTGATGGCTGCATGGCTAGTGACTGTCACAAAAGGTCTTTGAAAGCAAAAAGATTTCAGCAGTCATACCCTGATGTCCAGTAATTTAAGGAAAGTTATAGGAATTTGGTTCATTGTCTGCAGAAAGGATGAAAGCATTTCTTCACTGTGTATGTGTCAATTGAAATAGGCTGTGGCTTTCCCACATCAGCCAAAATCTTTAACCATTTCAGTTCCACCTTGTATTGTATTAAATTCAAGCTTTGACAGTATGGTGGGATGTTATTTGCCAAAGTTAACAAATTTTGCTTGTCTACCATCTTGTCAGGCTCCATCCAGTTGCCCCATTCAATGCAAGATGGTTCATCGATGACAAATGTGTTGCCGGGTACAATATTCCTGCCAAGGTATATAACAAAATTATTTTTTAAATGCTCTTATTTAAATGCTATTTTTCTCCTCTTATTTTCTGGAGTACAATAAATCTTTTTTCGAGATAGTCCTTTGCAACTTTAAAAACATTAATCAGGTTGAAAAAGGGATTATCTAATATATTATGAAAAAGAGTTCATAAGTGATGTCGTCACAAAAGTTTAAATTAGAATTTTTGTTTTTGCAATACAACCTTCAAAAGCACAAGCAAGTGCAAAATCAGTTAATTGTAATACAGAATTGGTACTGGCAGATTGTCACTACCTTTCAGACTATATGTGATTTTCTTCTCATCGAAGATTTCATCCATATATTTAGGATTGAGATCATGTTTGGTCTTATGAATTTCTCTAGTTAGCAACTGTAGCTAGCTTTGGTGATCGTTACTGAGCCTGTCTTCTTCAACAATTCTTCAAAATTTAACGAAGTATGAATGCGATTCTTAAAGCTTTTTCGTGGATTTTATTTATTTTGTTATTCGCTTTTCTATTGTGAAACATCCAAATTAAAGGACAATAGCTATATTAGGACAATGCATTCATTACTGTTTGTAGTTTTTCCTGGCCCATGAATTTTGCAACTCGTCCAAGTGCATGTTTTTGGCCAGTTTTTTGGATATACTTTCAATATGACAGTTAAAATCCAATTTCTGTCATATTGATGTTTCCAATCCTGGTTTTCCGATTCCTTCTCACAAGGATAGTACTCTCACTCCTCACAAAGTTCTCCATTACAACAAAGCTGACTGGGACTCTCTCCGCACCTTCTATTCCTCATACCCTTGGTTTTCAGATTATTCTATAGACTCATCTGCTTCTTATTCATTCACCTTTTTATTCCATCTTACTTAAAACCTGGATAAAAGTCCTCTCCTAAGTGGTATTACACACAGTGTTCCAAAGCAGTCCAAAACAAAACCCGCCGCTTCAAGGAATGAAAGCACTCCCAAGCACCTCAACCCAGAGCTTCCTATGTCCTTACTCCCAACGTATGTACCAAAGTTAGAAACAATGCAAAAACTTCTTTTTTCCGGCGCATCAGCAACAAGATCTCCAACCACCGAACAAGTTCTCCCTCCTTTTGGTCCACGGCTAAGATCCTATCCCAGTACTTCTGCCAATCCTCCTTTCCTCTTTTGAGTAGCGAAAATTGATCCTCTCCTAGCACTGCATCAACCAAAGCCAACATCTTCGCATCAACCATTGCCGCCAACTCAAACCTTGATGATCAAGGATTGAAACCTTGTCATTACCCCCTCTTAATAACTATCAATGTTACCAATTAAGTTCTCCATCTGCAAGATCCGCAAATCTCTTCTCTTACTAAATACCTCTAAATCTAAAGGACCTGGTTGTATACCAATCATCACCAAACAACTACTCACCTTCCTCGAAACCAGCTAACTCATTTCTGATCACCATTATAGTTTTCGCCAGCAAGATCTACCGGTGTTCTTCTAGCTTATGCTACTCATTTTTGTTCCTTTGCCTGGAATCCTTTGGTGAAGGTAGAGTGATCTCTCACGACATCTCCAAAGCCTTCGATCGTGTCCTGCACAAAGGTCTTCTTTCCAAACTCACCGTGCATTGTCTCCATCAAAGCCTTATAAATTAAAGTCTACGGCTACCTCTCCAGTCTCCACTCAACTAATATTGGTGTTCCACAAGGTTCTGTCATATCTCCTTTTCCATTCATTCTTTTCGTAAATTATTTTCTAACTTCCACAGCTACAAGTATTCATTCTTTTGCTGATTACACTTATCTGAGCTCTTCATTTTCCTTTGATTCTTTACATAATTCTTCTACCAACTCCCATCTTCAAAAAATATTTCACTATCAGTTACCTCGTACTTCATGTTTTTGAGTTGGCAAATACGTTTCTCTTTTGTTTACGACTAGAGTTTAGAAGTTTCCTCTTTGACTATAAGCATAATATGTTTATGTTGGCAGACATTGATTATTTTGATGCACGAGACACCTTCGCGGGACGAAAACGTCTTTGAAGATGCCGAAAAATTCAAACCTGAACGGTGGCTACGCGATGAAAGAGGTGAACATAAGATACACCCTTTCGCCTCGTTGCCATTTGGATTTGGAACGAGAATGTGCCTTGGTAAGCTTTTAGTATTCGATGTAAATTATCAATGGAAATGCACCAAAATATGGCGTATTAAGAAAGGGGTCAAAACGTTATTTTTTTAATGCAAGCTATAATTGGCTGTTGACATTTATCAATGAATGCGAGCTGTAGCTATAATTGGCCTTAAAACACAACTTTATGCTTAAGCTGTATTTTGCATTATACATATAGCTGGATGAACATGTAGCATGCCATTTTAAGTTTTTGAAAATGTGAGTGTAAAAAACTGTACGCGAAAGTATGGCTAGTATTTTGATCCGGCAATATTTCTCCAAGAAATCCTTGAAAAGGTCCTTCGCTAGTATCACTTGTTTGACGAAAATTATTTAATAACGCAATTAAAAAAATTCATTTTCTAACCTTTCTTTGCATTCTATGTTATTATTAGTTTTTAATATTTTCTTCCCTTCATCTCTAGGGAGAAGATTGGCAGATTTGCAAATCCAGCTTCTTACTTCAAGAGTATGTCCTCTGCTTCTGATTTTGTCTGCTTTTTGTTTCTAAACATAACTATATTTCTGATATATCTATATTTCTACGCTAGAGCTATACAGGTTTTTTATTGAGCAGATCTGAGTTGACATGGTAATTAAAAATACTTAACGCCAACTAGTGAAGCCAATAATAAGGTTAATGTTTAAGCAAAAGCGGAGTTTGTTTCCTTGGTTTAAAGTTGGCATTAGCTTTTTCACGGGGGTCACTTGATAGGGACCGTCATTTACCAAAGAATACCTGTTCCCGTGTCTCAGAGGAAGACAGCAGACACTTAGAGCAAACATTCGCGCAGTGCAGTTTTCACATCTTCAACTTTTCAGCTTTATCCTACTCTCAGAGCCTTTTTACCCGTGTTTTATGCCTTCATTGCAATCAAATTAAGCAACCTATACCAAAATGATCCTCAGATCGTTTTTACCATTACCATGTTTTTTACCAAAGTTTATGTGTCTTAAGTATTGTTTAATAAACAAGCCTTTAGAACTCACACCTTCTCAAAAGTATTACTGACTTCTTGATCTGGCCTGTTCCAGACGTGTTTTTACTAAGATAATGCCACTTGTTTTCTAAAGGAATTCTAATAAAACAGCTTTTTGATTATGCCATTTAGTCAACAGAACCGTTTATTTTTCAAATGGGCTTTGCTTTATTCACTTCATGTTTTAAAACAGGCGTGTTGCCTTTGTTGTGGATTAGATTCAAGGGATAACTAATCGCATTGATCAAATCACTCAAAGTATATTAGCTCGTGTTTTCAAAACAGAAGTCAGCTGATTTGGCTGATACTCTAAAATGAAGTTTGAGCAACATCAAACAAGCATTTTGTATTATTTTGAATATAACACAATGTACAGACCAGTTCGACGTTGTTTTTATCGATTACCTAAGTATTTTATTTTCGCTTTTTAGATATTTGGGAAGTATATGGTTGAATGTGATCACAAAATGATGAAGATGGTCAGCGGTGGAACACTGAACAAGCCCAATGTGGATCTAAAATTCAGAATTTATGAGCGATAACGCGGACAGATTAGAGCGCTGAAAACGAGGGTTTTGCTTACTTTTTTGCCATTTTAACTTGCTAGCATTTTAACAATGATGAATAATTTTTACATATTATTCATGTCGAATTTTGTCTTTCAATGAAAAATTTATGTTTACAACAAATTTTCTTATTTGCAGTTGCGCTAAATTATCATCAAAAGATGCCCGCAAGAAAGTGCTAGTTTTGTTAAGCTACAAACTCATTGAAGATCATCATAGCAACAAAACTGTTGCAAGGCTTTGCAAAAGATGCGAGAATATCAATGCAATTGCATTCACTGTCATTAAGCGTTGATCAACATTTTTGATAAGGTTTTCCGACAAGCGATGAAATGACCTGAAATATCAGACTGACTCCTTTGTCTTCAGCAAAGATGTTTTTGAAGAAATTCAGTCTTATTGTTGCTGGTTAAGCCGCCAGTCTTCATCATTTCTGAAACGATTAACTGAATTTGAAGTCTGTGTGTTATGCAAAAAAGTTTTGAAGCTTACTGCTTTACACGCTTTCATTAAACCTTGTTTTTTCTCCTCCATCTTATTTTTGTTACTATTTTTAAGCTAAAAAAGTTTCAGTACTAGCTACATTAAAAATTTTATTCTAAGCTTTGCAAGACCTTTCCTATTTCATGTCAAATTTACAATAGATGAAACTATGGGACATATTTTTTTATGCTCGTAAAAATCTACAAAACACTACAACAAATACAGTACAATAACGATACAACAGGGAGCATGATGCTAGGCCAAATACCCAGGAAGTGACATATTATATTAGACACGTTGATACATCAAAGCTTGAAAATATTGTCTCAGATTTTCCTCCCCTCAAAGTCAATTTTTGTTTACGTTTCTGGCCATCCCCAAAATACCATATCCCTAAACTCTTTCAAACTTTAATATTTTGGACACTCCGCTTTCAAAAACGTTTCGCCGGCCTGAAGCCAATGTTGCGACGGTGCCGGGTCAAGTTGATGAAAACAAAAATAAAAGTCAGTACACCTTTTCGATATCGGGGCGCGCTTATTTTGCAAAAAGAGACTGAGGCGAGAAATTGGGTGAAAAAGTTGCCACGGGCCTATGTTTACATATAAATACGGCGTTTATTGGTAACTAATTACTGCCCGAATTGACATCAAAAGTATTCGAAATTTTATAGATTTGATTCCTAAACATCTTCCGTAGTCTTTAGTCTCGAAAATAGCTTTTCTAAAAGCTTCTGTCAAGTATTGTAATTTAACAGGCTACGTAGGGCTAGGATTTTTGTCACAAAACTTCAAAGTTACTCGCTATTTTTACTCCTTTAAAATCGACAAACAAGTTTCTTCGCAAACCCTGCTACAATTCTTTGTTCCTATAAGAACACTTTTCTTTTCCTGCCTGTTCTCGACTTTTTCTCCAGTAAACTGCTTTTTTACATAAGTTGCCAATTGTTTTGGTAGTAGAGTCCGTGTAGCCCACTTGTTGTGCAATTTCATCATATGAATAACCTGCCTGGCGTAAAAACTTTATGACCATTTGCTTAGCTACATCCATATTTTGTGTTTTTACAAGTTCCCAAAGATAAACATTTT